ATATATATAGATACACACGCACACACACACACACACACATATATATATGTTTCTCTGTGTATATGAATTTATTTCTAAGAAGTATATTTGTATGATTTACAGAGCAAGTGACTCACAGAGCAGTGATTTTGAAGAATCTGTTTCTTCGTGTCTTAATAACTTAGACTTAGTTGAAAGAGATTTCCATTTATATAAATTGTAGATGGAAGAAATGTAGTGATTGCTTCCTTAGGACTTTTCATTATGTAGATTGTTACTATGTAGATGTGTCTATGTTGGTGCTTTTTACTACCAGCCATGTGCAGTTTTGTCAGCACAAGAACGGCATTTCAGATAATATGGTTTTCAGGCATGGAGTTGTAGCTACATATAGTAGTATTGGTAATGTTCAGTTTCTGTTGTAAAATACTTAATATTATGCTTGAATATTAGAAAAAGTTTGATTGGAATCACAAATTAGTATAAATTTATTCTCCCTTTTTGGTTATTTACCATTCAGCAGAGAATTTCTATTGATCCAGCAACATCTTATCACTTGCAAGGCCTAAAACCAAATAGCTTATACTACTTTCGTTTGGCTGCACGATCTCCACAAGGTCTTGGTGCATCAACAACAGAAATTTCAGCGAGAACAATGCAGTCAAGTAGGTGCCTCTCCTTGATTTCTTAATTTCCCTTATATTTCTTCTAGTTGACAAGCACAGAAGGTGTGGTTATTACATTATTATATTGCAAAGAAGTCTAAGCATGCAAAATAAGGGCATCTCACATTCACCATAATCTCTGGTAACATGTGGAGATTTGCTCTATAGGTTCCAAGCAGAAACATCCACTGGTAATTGCAGGACTAAACAAAAATATATTCTACCAGCGATATTTTTTTTATAGCAATAGCAATAGCACTTAGACTTATATACTGCTTCACAGTGCTTTACAGCCCTCTCTAAGCAGTTTACAGAATCAGCATATTGCCCCCAACAATCTGGGTCCTCATTTTACTGACCTCGGAAGGATGGAAGGCTGAGTCAACCTTGAGTCGGTCAGAATCGAACTCCTAGCAGTGAGCAGTGAGTTAGCCTGCAGTACTGCATTCTAACCACTGTGCCACCATGGCTCTTCATTATTTTTTTTATCCTTAGAGAGAGATCCACAAAGCGTTGTTCTAAGGATATTTTTGTCGCTGCTATTTTTCTTTAGGAAGCTCATTCTGAGATCTTTTAGGAAATTTAAAATGGCTATCACTGGAAACAAGGACATTCTAAGTTACTCAGTGGGGACAGTAATAAATATCTATAGAAAAATAGTTTTTCAAGGTAGGTATATCAGTCTTCTAGTGGATAGTTTTATTTCATAACACATTTAATATCCTCTAGCAGGGCATCTGATACAACATTAATTCAAACTTTGGAAATTTTGCTTTTTTCCATATAGACCTCTTGCCAAATAAAGATCAAATATGCTTCATACAAAAGTAGGTCCAAAAGTTTAAAAAAAGATTTAATGCATCCCTTTTAGGAGATAAGGAAAACAGATATTAGCATCACAACTTTGTCCAATCAGAAATAACAGCAATTGTGTTCCCTGTGCTGAAACATGAGGAATAAGATTTGAAGAATTAAGTTGAGGGACAAACCATTTCATAGAACATTTTATTTAAAATTACCAGGTCCATATAATGAATTTTCATCAAATAACTATTTCTACTTTGCTGTTGTCCATTAAACAGTAAAACAAAGTTGGGGTGTCCACATAAAACTTAATGGGACTTCCAAGTATTATGTTGAGAGTTGGGGGTCAGGAATCAATTTCAAGTTTAATGTGATATATAAGAATGAATGTAAGTAATCTAATAAAAGCTTTCCTATAATTTTTAGTAATAAATTTTCACTAATAAACTAAAGTTCTAGTTTAAATTTATCTATTAAAAATACTCACTTGAGTTTTTGGGTAGAAAGGATTAATGTTTAAGTTAAGTGCATTATATTAATCAAATTATTTTGCCTTTTTTAACCAATCGACTTTTTATGTTCTAGTAATTTTGTATTGTGTGTGGGTTGACTGGGTGGTGTATGTATTATAAAATTGCTAGTAGATTTCAATTCTTTGCTAGCCAAGGTTTTTCCAAGAGGAGCTAAAATATTAAACGTATCTTCATTTATGGTAAGTACCAGTTACAGTCAGAGCCAACAGCCATGTCACTTTTTCATGGTAGGTAAATCTTTGATTAAGACAAATGAAAACTCCTTTCTGATTCTGCATGTTTTACATTTTATTGGCTACAATTGTGTTTGAATAAATATATATATATTAATTTAAAATTCAGAGTAGGTAGAAAAAGGAAAAATGGAAAATTCAAGTACTTCTATGTTGATTTTTCAAAACTGAACAGTGCAGGAAAGACTGGACAGTAGATAAATTGGTAGAAAGAAAGAAAGAAAGAAAGAAAGAAAGAAAGAAAGAAAGAAAGAAAGAAAGAAAGAAAGAAAGAAAGAAAGAAAGAAAGAAAGAAAGATGGAAAAGAAAGAAAGATGGAAAAGAAAGAAAGATGGAAAAGAAAGGAAAAGAAAGGAAGGAGAGATGGGGAGGGAAAGAGAAAGAAAGAAAGAAAGAAAGAAAGAAAGAAAGAAAGAAAGAAAGAAAGAAAGAGAAAGACTAGTAAACATAAGTAATATTACAGATGTATATACATATATACATACATAGAAGTATCATGTTTGATGTTTTTATTTCAAGAAGAATCATTAATCACAGGTAGGTAACAACAAATTAAGGCTCATTTTCATGTATTTCCCCCAACATCCTTTTCCACTTTTTAGTTAATTCATTTTCAGTTGTTTCATGTTAATAAGCCAAGGCTCATAAGACTGTCTAAATACTTTATTTCTAAATTTAATTTTTATTTTTCCTTGGTTTGCCCTTTATTATTTATTTTTCTTTCTTTTTGTTCATTTTTTTCTTCAACCACTTCTCTCCTTTCACTCAAATCCTCCTTTAACCCACTACTGAAATTAGAGCCATCAGCTCCTCCTCAAGACATTAGTTGCAACAGCCCCAGCTCCACTAGTATTTTGGTAAGTTGGCAACCTCCTCCAGTGGAAAAACAGAATGGAATTATCACTTCCTATTCCATCAAGTACACTGGAACTGATGGAGAAGATGACAAGACCCATGAAATTTTGGGAATTACTCCGGATACTACACAGTACCTTTTGGAACAGTTGGAAAAATGGACTGAATATCGCATTTCTGTGGCAGCCCACACTGATGTCGGACCTGGCCCAGAGAGTGAATCTGTATTTATTCGGACAGATGAAGATGGTATGTTTCTTCCACCCCATCCGTTTGACTTTTTCTCTCAATCTCCTATCTTTGTATGATCTAAGTATTCCTTCCCTTCCTTGCTCATCTTTTTTCCCCAGAACTATTTCAACGGATATTTTAAATCCAAATGCCTTTTTCTGCTTCCTGTGTTTTTAAAAGCAGCAACAACAAAAAGCAAAAAATAGAAATGTTATGAACAACATAAAGAACTCTTTAAAGTGCTCTCCCCAATGTGCATGACATATTTTCTTCTATGGATTTTTTTTTTTAGATTTTTCCCCCTCTTTTTTAAAATCTTCTGATTTTATTCTGTCTTTGCACATATTATAAAGTATTTGTATCTTTGAGGAAACTGATGCTTCTCAATTTTTAAAATATTTTGAAATATGTTTTTCATATTTGAACTTTGAAGACAAATTGCACGCTGCTATTGCCTTTTTCCCCCTTGAAGAAATAATGATATAATAGTGCATTTTAAAAGTCTTTTAGGTTTTGTATTATTTTGATTACTAAAATAACTTCTTTGTGCTTTAATGCTTTGAGTTTCAAAGCATCTTCCTTGGCTTTTGTACATTTTTACATGTTTTTCTATTTCTCTAATACTCTTTTTTCTTCCATTTTTGCATCAGTCATGTTTTTTGATCTTTTCACTGAAATGTAGAACAGTTTTGTAGTGTTTTCATTTGTATTCTTCAAGAAAGGCTTGTGGGGTCTCCTTTTAAAAAGAAAAGAAAAAGAAAAAAAAAGACTGATTATTTGGGACAAGTGCCTGTAATTCTTTTATCCACTGATATGTTCCAGTTCCTAGTGGTCCTCCTCGAAAAGTCGAGGTTGAGGCTGTCAACTCTACATCTGTTAAAGTGTCATGGCGTTCTCCAGTGCCCAATAAGCAGCATGGCCAAATCCGAGGCTACCAGGTGCATTATGTGAAGATGGAAAATGGAGAGCCTAGGGGCCAACCTATGCTGAAGGATATCATGTTGGCTGATGCACAGGTAATGAATTATATTCAGTTTCTTTAGATAAGAAAAGCAAGATATTCATACAATAGCCTTTTCTTTTTTTATATTAACAGCTTAAATGTTTTCTTTCTATTTCAATACATTATTTCTAAAAGAATTCTGAATGCTTCAATCTATAACCAGATAATCAGGCTACCGTGCTATTCTGTGTGTAAATATTATTTCTAGACATGGATATATTGTTGTAATGGAAGGAAAACAAACCTGAAACATATGCTATTTTTAAATCAAAGTACATGTTTGTCGTAGTGCAAAGTGGAAGCTCTCTTGTTCTTCCACAGTAGATGTGTGCAGTTATCTGGGCAGTGTCATATTTATACAGTACAAACTATTCAGTATATTAGTAGAATGACATTATTTCATATTTCATGCATTCTTCCTATGCACTGAAACAATAATCACTTTTTAGTTCATTATGATTTGGGCATAGATTCTGTTCTGCATTTATATTTTTATCTCAATGCATGTAATCCAGGTAATGTTAAGTATTTTAAATTATATTAATATATAAATGAATATTGCACATTTAAATTTCAGCATTGAACTACATCAATTTGGTTGGATGATATGGTAATATATGCAAGTGAGCTAGGGATTGAAAATAATATAGTAGAACTCAGTGATATATTTCAAATAAATAGAACTGTGCCTGAAATGAATAGGAATTGATCTAATAGTATATGAGATGCTTTGTTTTTTTAAAGAAAAGCCTAGGATGATATATTGATAAACTGAAACAACATTGCATTCTTTCTTACAGAATATAAAAAATCATAGAAAATCTATTTTTCCATAATGCAAATTTGTCCATATTAAATAAGCTTTAAAAATACAGATTTTTAATTACATATATTTTATGAGCTTTGGAGCCTGAAATCATTCCGATAATATCGTAAACCATGAAGTATTAAAAGCTTTTTTCATTCATGGTTAATTATGTTTTGAAATGTAGCAATATGTAACCATCATATATTATAACCAAAGAAGAATTGTTTAAATGGAACAACTTTATGGCATCTGTAATATTTTAAACTCCAATTCAATAAAATTACTTTACTGAAAACAATACTATTTTTTCATGTAATGATTTAATGCCCTCCAATTTCTGTATTAAAAATTAACATCTTTGTAAGTCTTATTCATATCAAATGTTTTAGCACATTTAGAACAACTTGTTAATGCTTTTGGATCATTGTGAATCTCCAGGGATTAGAACGAGAACAATATGATTATATTGTACCTCTGTTCTTTAAACAGATTTTTCCCACTTGGAAAATATGCAGCCCTTTATGGCTCTAGTTCAAATTCTTTTTTTCCTTTTTTTTTAAATTATAGAAAGAGCAGAGTGTGCTGTTGGTCATATGGTTCCATTACTGGTATGAAGTATCAAGTACATATAAATTGCCTCTATTAATCTAAACAGGTGCGCTGAATTAAATTGGACAGGGTAAAATAGAAATGAACATGGCTTAGTAGCATATGATTAACTAAAATGTAGCCTTTCATTATATCTCAACAGTTTGAACTAATGCTGTCATAAAGCATTGCTATAAACTAACAACACTTCAAACTAGGATGTATGTTTTTTTCAGAAATATCATCCACTATTCATGTACCATCAAAAGAGAAACCTAAATTCATAGGGTTTTTTTTCTAAATTCAGACTGATTTTACTAGTTAGTTTTCATATATGGTTATCCTGAAAAGGATAAATATGCTTCAATAGCCTACAAATATCTCCTCATTTCTTTTGTTTTTCTTCCCAACATTCTTTACTCTCAATCAGTGGGAATATGATGATACTACTGAACATGTGAGTAAAACTGATTGCCTTCCCCCGCCAAAGTATGATGGTTTTAATGTTTAATTTTTGGTTGCTTGCACATATGCATGGATTAATACTTTTCACCCAACTTTGTTTTGATTTGATGCAATGCTTTTGCTTTTTAAGTTTTGTTAAATTTATATAATTGCCTCACTTGATCTTGCAGTGTATCCAAAATATATTTTTTTAAAGAAAGCGGTTATCATTTTCATTTGCTTAACTCAGCTTTCCTCAGGCCCGCTGTTTTATGTATTTGCTATCAAACACTTTTTCTTTTAGTCCCTAACCTGTTGTTCATTTCAGTTGATGAAATGCCAAGTTAAATATGTATTTGCATTTTTCTGAAAATATACATTGGTATTGGCTCAGGGTCAGCATTTTTAAAGCTGAGCTTTTTACCATATTGTTAATCAGATATTTTCATCAGTATTTTAAAAGTTCCTTCCTTAATGGTGCTCTTGTCCAAAAACATGTACCCAATGATAAATCTAAAAGTCAGATTATCATATGATAATCATGAGTTACTGGATGAAAATAAAAACCAGTACAATGAGCAAATTCAATTTCCAGCTTGTATTTTAGCTCTAGTGAAAATATTGCAATTTATCTCTTATCCTCTAAAGAAACATATAAACTTACCTCACTCAGTGTTTTAAGAAAAGTTTGTTTCAACATATATGGCAAATTGCTTATCAGAATTCTCAAACTGGGTGATACGGTTTTTTCATGGTTTTTCACTGTTGCTTTTGAGTCTAAAATTTTCTGATCTAAAGAATGTTTCCCTACATCCATATATATTTTAACTGCATAAATTTGATCTTTATAAAAGACTGTAAATCATGAAAAGAGATTTTTTAACAAAATTAGCAACTCCAAATAACTTTGTTTCTCTTCTGCCTTCTCCGGTACATTCTCTTTCATTCTCTTCTAAAAACTCTTGGCAGTTTTCAACTGCTGTTCAGATGTTGAGAAGATGTACACTTTTAATTAAAGATGTAGGTGATTCCTGAGCCATAATTTATCACAAAATAAACTAATTTAAATGAGGAAAAGGAAAAATATTTCTCTGCTTACCATTTAAACTAGTGAAGGGCCAAATTACAAATCCATATGTTGACATTATCAATTCATATGTTGACATTATCAATTCATGTGACTATATACTGTATGTATACTGTATGTACAGACTATATACTGTATGTAAATTTAAAATTAAGATTTTATTTAAAATATCAGTCTTTCTCAAAACTTGATGTGAATATATTTTCATATGATCCAGTAGTCACAATAGTGCTATTGAGTATGTGACAACTCAGAACTTTGCGGAGTCCTTTGAATGTTATAGAATGGATAGCATCATAGAATGCTTATGGAAACTATTTTATGTTGAATAGTCATATCCATTGTTAAAAATTTATTATCTTATCTTTCTCATATATATATATATAAATGCATGTATGTTTGTATGTATGTGTGTGTGTGTGTGTCTGTTTGTGTATATGTGTGTGTATATATGTATACACACACACACACACACACATATATATATATATATATATATATATATATATATATATATATATATATATGTGTGTGTGTGTGTGTGTGTGTGTGTGTGTGTGTGTGTGTGTGTGTGTACCAACTGATTCATTTTACCTGAAGTTCAGTATTTGCATATGGAAGTTTCCTAGGAAGCTTAATAAAGTTTTATTTTCTGAGCATGAGAAATACAACTATTAGGGAGAAAAGGAATCCATTGTGCATTTCCCATGTGTTCACTTACAAAGCATGTTTTGTGTGCCTCAGAGCATGACTAATTTGTATTATTCAAAAAGATAGGTGGAAAATATGATGTCCCATATTACAGCCAATTGCAAATTTCTGTATTTTAAATGGGCAATAGGCAAAACCCATATCACCATCGTGTACACATGTATGTTCTAAATGTCTCATCACTCAATTTCAAATACTTATCTTTCTACAGCTGCCCATTAATATGTTACTTAAAAAAGGACACAATTGCTAAAGTTTAGAGTTCTCCCATTTTTTACTATTCAGAAGGTGTTCCTTCTATAGAGCTAGTTGGAAAAACCATATCCTCCCCATAATCGATAGGTATCCTGGTCATTCAGAAAGTATTTATCTCCAGTGGCTGCTTAAGGATGAGCAGGCAGTGATCATGGCGCAGGTGGCTAAATTGTGCGCAGCAGCACTGGGGATTCACCAGAAACATAAATAAATATTTTTAGATCTTTTAATAATCTTTTATAATTAATTTTATTACGTATTTTTATTCATCGTTAGACCATACTCAATGTATTTTTATTGTCAGGTCAGTATGATTCAGTTTCTCTTAAGGTAGCTAGGTTTTGTTATACTGTCTGTAAAATTAGGGAGACTTTAGTTACACATTGATTTCATCATTAATAGTAATATATTGCTATGCCTTCTTGTGTTCGGTTCTGTTTAGTTTTGTTTTATTTGAATGTTTAATTTTTTGTGTTAGCCCATGGCTGTAATAATAAACATACTACTACTATTCGGAAGGAGAAACTAGTGGAAAGTTTAGCCATGAAGAACTGAGTAATACTGCATTGAAAATTAAAATTAACATGCAGGCACAAATTACATAAAAAAGCATATACAGTTTAAGGCTGAGACGTAATGGAACCAAATATAAGTTGTTTCAAATCAGTGGAATTGTAGTTCATATTAAGCATATAAAAATAGTGGAATTTTAGAAAGCTTAAATTTTGCTAGCTCAAATCCTTTGTATCATTTCAAAAATTAGTTTCAGCATGTAAAACAAATCATCAGTTGGTTTCTAGTATATAATCACTTTCAGATTCTTTTTAATCTTCATCCTCTTAAAATATTTTAAAAGCTACAAGTTAGGTCTCACTAAATCCTATTATATTTCCTATTGAATAACTATATAGAATTTAATGTATTTTTCATAATTTCCTGTCCCAAATCAAACATTCGGATTATATTTAATAATATTTTAGATTTTAAATAATAGATTTAATTATTTAAATTAATATTATTTTACAATATGGTTATAACCAACATAAAATGGGTCAGTTTTATTAGTTTTTTGTGGTCATCATTAAGTGAATGCAGTGATCACAAAGCAAAATGGTTCGCTGTGGGTTTTGTTTTGCTGAAAAATGGAAGTGCTAGTTTTCAGGAAAACCATCACAAAATACAGTCACATGACCATGGGACACTGCAGATGTCCCAGAGTTTGGTCATGTAAGCATGAAGGAGATCCGACCATATGAAGTTCAAATCTGGATAATAAATCTCCTTTTTCGGGTAATTTTGAATGATCGCTAAGCAACCCATTTTAAGTGGAGAAATACCTGTAGAATTTTGATCATGCTGTGCTTCATAATTTTTTAGATTGAGATCTAAAGTGTTCCCTTCTCAGTAAATACAATTAGATTCACCCTTTAAAATTTGAAGTTGTATACACACTTACTTGAAAGGAGTAAATCTAGGACTGTGCTTCAAAAATTTGTTCCAGAATGAATTTTCATTAAAGCACTGTTTAATGTTACGGGCAGGTTCCATAATGGTAATACAGTATGTCTAGGACTACTTGTATTTGTGAGATCAGTTAAGCTGATTCCAAGGAACTGTGCTTGGAATCATATGTTTCATAAATTAAGACAAGTCATGTGGAGAATAACTTTTAGGAACAGGAACTGCAACCAAGACAGATAAATGAAATCTGAATCCAAAGCAGAAATGCAATTTGAGAAATTGTCTCAGATTTGATCCCCTCTAATTTTCTTATAGATAAAAGCAGGGAGAAGAGAAGCATATTCAGACTTGCCAGATTCTGTTACAATAAAACTGGTCTTAGTATACATAATAGTTTCCCAGTCTGATCCATCTCAAAGGACTAGAGCAGTGGTTCTCAACCTGTGGGTCGGGACCCCATTTGGGGTCGATCGACCATTTCATGGGGGTCGCCAAGCAAGGCTGTCCGCCATTTTTTTTGTCCGTCATTTTTTTTGTCCGCCAATTTTTCCCCCCTTTTCCGGTGGGTGCCTTACCTCCCTTGGGCTGGGCCAGCTGGTGGTTGGCCTGCTCCGTCTCTGCCGCTTGCCAGCTACGCCTCGGCCGGTGCAGGGGGCGGAACCACGCATGCGCGCGCTCCCGGGCAGGGAAAGTCCTCGACCTACGACCGGTTGGGTAGTCCTCGACTTACGACCGGTTTAGTCCTCGACTTACGACCGGTTTAGTCCTCGACTTACGACCGGTTGGGGTCGCGGCATTAAAAAGGTTGAGAACCACTGGACTAGAGGGAGGAAAACTTTTGGGGGTCAAAAAATTACCAAAATTACCATAGAGCGTTTTTTTAGAGAGCAAAAATTAGAGTAGGCAAGTTGATAATAGCACATATGAATTTGTTTTTTTAAATCTAAATTTTAGGAAATAATTCTGAGTTATTATTTTTGTTTTCTCATGGTCTGCCTGGAGTTTAGACTGGATATGGCATTTTTATCCATCTATCAAGTCCAAGAACTGGGATAGGAAAATGATGTTTTTTTAATTATTATTATTATTGTTGTTGTCATCATCGTCATTATCTTCATCATCATCTTTATTATTAATACAGCAAAAAAGTTTTCAGGCTTATGTTACATTTCTCACATGATGGCAACAAAAGATGCTGATTTCGACAACATTAGTCAGACAGTTCTCCAGTGGTTACAATAAAAGTGTTCAAGGCTACTTGCAGTGATCTTAAGTTTACACCCCAATCTATATGTAACATGGTTCTGTAATTTAAAAAATAGATAACCCTGCTGTAAAGATAGCAGTATGACTGATTTGTAAATAATGGCTAAGACAAGTATTGTGTCAGGTTTGATTTTATTTTTGTAGCCCAAATACACTCATTCTACAGTAATAAAAATGAATAGTAAGAACATGTGACGTTGTGCCCTTTAAGTGCTTAGCCGTACATTTATAAAAATATTTAAGGCATGCTACTCAGAACATTCATCATTCTTCTGGCTTAATGCAAAACCTTATTCACTTGTATCATCTTCTGATACCCCTAAAAGCTTGTCATCTCTGCAGATAGCATGAAAGCTCTGTGCACTGAATGCAAGTTATTGTAACTTATGGAAAGATGAAAAACTTGTGAAGTGTCTCTATTCCATATATTAATATGCCATGTTTTTATTACATTATTTTAGGAGATGATCATAGCTGGATTACAGCCAGAGACAACCTATTCCCTGACTGTGACAGCCTATACAACCAAAGGAGATGGAGCACGGAGCAAACCTAGATTAGTATCTACTACTGGTGCAGGTACTATCTGATGATCCTTTCCGTTATGAAGTCTTAAAATGAATGTTGACTGCTTTGATCATTTATGATACCAGGTGCTAAATGTTCTTAGCTGATTATGTACAGTAAAGCATTATTGATTTTCATTGTGATTTTTCCATGCCTGACTGTTTTTTAGAGTTTAGATGCATCCAGGAGTTTGAATATAGGAGAATACAAAATCTGACACATCAGGCATAGTACAAATTGATTTGTAAGCCCTTCTGTTTCTGTTGAAGAAACACAATAGCCCCACAGTATGGATAATTTAAAATATGGCATGTGAAAAACTCCCATTACAATTTGTTGAACAAGCCATATTTGCCTACTTCAATGTTACACTAAAAAAAAATCCAACAAATTACAAGGCATGAAATTATAACCCGAGAGATTGAAAATGAAATATAGAGTCTGGAAAAAATGTTGGGAACAAAAAATAAAGACCAGAAGAGGTAGAGATAGAGATATAAAGATACTGTATGTGATTTCCAAGTTGTCATTATTAATATAATAATAATGAATTCCTCATTAAACTCGGGAACATACAGGAGAGTTATTTTACTTCACCCAATCATTAAAAAAAATGGTAAACTATCCATAAAATGGAAAGGAAAAGATCTCTGTAAAATGAAGAGAAACCCCTAAAGAGACTACAGGACTACAGATAGGACTGAAAAATAAAGGGAGCAGCAGGCAAATGGAGAATTTGACTCATGAACATTTGGATCTAAGACTGCATATATTAATTAAGCTTAATTAATGTTTTGATACTGTTGGTTCTTTCAAACAATATAACTAATGGTTTTAGGTTTACAATGCTGTTTTTTTCCCCCTGGTGTACAGACTACCCTTTCATTCTCAATCTGCTGTGTATTCATTCATTATTATTTACCTTTCTTCTGGGTTTTGTCTGCATGTAGATCTCATGGCCAATTAATTATTAAAGGATGTCTAGTGGGAAAATCTTTAGTTTTATATTAATTTTGTATATTAAAAAAGAATAATTGTTCTTCTATGAAAAACATGATTTCTTAGAATAATATATTAAGTAGTGCAGTGATGGCTAACCTTTTAGAGACTGAGTGCCCAAAACCCGCCCCCGCTCCACCTCCCGCCCTGCCTGCTCCACCCCCACCCTGTCTGCTCTGCCCCCTCCCACCCCCTGCCCAGCCTGCCCGCAGGGCCATGCATCGCCTCCATGGCCCGCTGCAGCAGATTGCCCAGGCAGCCCTGCAGCGCCATGCAGCCACGCCCTCCACCCACACTCCGCAGCATCATCTGCACGCTATGGGGCACGAGGGCTGAGTCTTGTCCCTGCTTCCCGGATATGTTCTTGGCTGTGCTGCCTGGGGGGGGGCGAGTCTCCTCCAGGGTGGGCTGCTGGTGAGGAGGGGGCCACGGGGGGAAGCGGGGCTGGGGCGACGGCACGTGTGCCCACAGAGAGGGCTCTGAGTGCCGCCTCTGGCACGCATGCCATAGGTTCGCCACCACTGAAGTAGTGTTTTCATTTGACTTCATTTTAAGTGCTCCAAGAATAAATTGCTTAGCAAGATTTCAACTTTGTTTTCATTTATCTGATAGCTGTAGTTTGAAAGTTTTGTGTTTGAAACTTCCATATATCAAATGGCTATAGTTTGAAGTTTTTATGTCTGAAATTAAACATAAAAATTAAGCTAAAAATGCCTCTGTGTGTGTGTGTGTTTCGTGTGTGCGTGTGTGTGCATGTTAGCTTTTTATGTACAATTTCCTGATTTTAATTCCTGATTTTTATTTAATGGTGGAATTTTTATGCTGACATTGTGTTACTTGATTCAGCAGAGTAAGCTTTTTGTTCATTATCAGAACATTATTTAGTGACATTATATATTTTATTAGGCCGATGGTTTCTTTTTTTTTCTTTCCACTCAGCCCCCATTTTGGATGAAATTCTCCTGCTTTTAAACCAATGTTTCTCAACCTTGACAATTTTAAGGCATGTGGACTTCAACTCCCAGCATTCCACAGCCAGCATTGCTGGCTGTGGAATCCTGGGAGTTGAAGTCCACATGCCTTAAAATTGTCAAGATTGAGAAACACTGTATTAAACTAACCTTTTCTGTAATGTTAATACCAGAACACTGATAAAAAAATCAAGATCAAATTAGGATATGAAATCTGGTATATTAGTTTATTTAAACAAGGGAATGGCATAACTAGTACAAAAGCTGTCATATGAAGATACCCTGAAAGCCCTGGAAAATGGCTTCAACTCTGTCTGCTTTTAGTTTGATTTGGCTGACTAGAGCTATGCAGACAGTCATTCTTTTCAAACACATGCTTTTAAGATGATTGATTCATCTTGATTCAGATACCTTTTATATACAGATATTTTGCTCTTCCCAACATATAAATGCATCCTCTGGAATAAAAGTAGTCCTCGACTTATGACCACAATTGAGCCCCAGATTTCTCTTGTTGAGTTTTGCCCCATTTTACGACCTTTCTTGCCGCATATGTTAAGCGAATCGCTGCACTTGATAAGCTAGTAACCTGGTTGTTAACCGAATCTGGCTTCCCCATTGACTTTGTTTGTCAGAAGGTCACAGAAGGTAATCAAATGACTTGGGACACAGCAACCAATTGCTAAGCATCTGAATTTTGACCATGTGACCAAGTGGATGCTACAGTGGTCACAACTGTGAAAAACGGTCATAAGTCACATTTTTCATTTTCAAAATTGTAACTTTAACAATTACTAAACGAACTGTTGTAAGTCGAGGACTACCTGTATACTCTGATTGAATTAATCATATTAAAGTAAAGTCCATAAGTCTAATATACAAAGATGCACAATTACTGTATGTGTGGCTTGGTTTCATCAATGGGGTTCATTGCCTACCTGCTATATTTAGGAACTAGAAGAAAGGGATTAAAGAAAGCTAATAGAATGCTTAATGTGTTGCAAGTTCTAAATTAATATTTGAGGATGGGGGTAGAGTAGAGAAATGGTATGTTTGTTGCACAAGTAATTTTTAAAGAGACCTAATAAACAATTTTAGAAATAAATATTGAAGGTACATTCTGTGCTGAAATAATGTTATGTTACAGTTCCAGGAAAACCTCGGCTTGTAATTAGCCACACACAAATGGGTACAGCTCTAATTCAGTGGCACCCACCTGTCGATACATATGGCCCCCTGCAAGGGTACCGCCTGAGGTTTGGCCGCAAAGACATGGATGCCTTTACGACACGGGATTTTACTGATAAAGATGACCACTACACGGCTACTGATATTCATAAAGGGACTTCTTACATCTTCAGGCTTTCAGCTAGAAATAAAGTGGGCTTTGGGGAAGAAGTGGTAAAAGAAATTTTGATTCCAGAAGATCTACCAAGTGGATTTCCTCAAAATCTACATTCAGAAAGTGCCACCTCAACCTCTGTCCAACTAACTTGGCAACCGCTCATTTTATCCGAGAGAAATGGTATTATCACCAAATACACTCTACAGTACAGAGATATCAATGTGGCACATCAACAAACAGAGATTCCTGTTACTCCTGTTGATACTATTATGACACTTTCAGGCTTAAAACCAGATACCACATATGATGTAAAAATACGTGCACATACAAGCAAAGGGCCCGGTCCATATAGTCCCAGTATCCAGTTTAGGACATTACCTGTGGATCAAGGTAGGATTTGTCTGCTTATGGCTTGTCTTGTAAAGGATCTCAGTCTTTGGATATCAATATTTTAAATATAGCTTCAATTTTCAAAACCATCAAATAAGTAGATTCATCTGATGCAGAGGTAAAGTATGTAAATCTTCATGTGTTTTGGATTCACTAGAATTCAGTTATCCCATATCAGACAAGTCTGGCTCACTTCTACATAATAATTGCAGGTAAGGAAAATATAATTATTTTGAGATGTCATTTGTAAGAATGGAATGTGATTTCTAAAAACAGGTAGGAATATAATAAAATATGTTTACCGGTGAAAAGGGGATGGGATCCAAAATCAAAATGTACTTTAAATATATTACTTTTCCTTTTCCAGCAGTGTTTGCAAAAAATTTTCATGTCAAAGCAGTAATGAAAACATCAGTTCTTCTTTCCTGGGATATACCAGAGAATTACAATTCTGCCCTGCCTTTCAAAGTAAGTGGTTTTTAATCTTGAAGGGTTACAGGACTTGTAATGGACAAATGCCTTTATTAAATGATTTACAGACCCACTCTACTAACTAACAGATATTTAGTAGTATTAAATCTTGTCCAGTTTGAACTAAATCAGAAGATCATGGAACCAGTTCTCCAAGATTGATACTTGATTGATAATGTTAATTAATTCTATGTTTATGTATCAGCATTAGTGATGTTGAACTAACACCAGAAATAAGTATAATAGTTTTTTTTACTGTTTAGAGTATTATAAAAAAACTGAGATTGTTTCATTTTATTAGTATAATAAAAATGTGTTAATTTTATAACAACAACAACAAGTTGGAAGGGATCTTGGTCATCTAGTCCAACCCCCTGCTCAGGCAGGAAACCCTATACCATTTCAGACAAATGGCTGTCCAGTTTCTTCTTAAAAACTTCCAGTGTTGGAGCATTCACAACTTCTGAGACAGGTTGTTCCACTGATTAATTATTCTAACTGTTAGGAAATTTCTCCTTAGTTCTAGGTTGCTTCTCTCTTTGATTAGTTTCCATCCATTGCTTCTTGTCCTGCCTTTGGGTGCTTTGGAGAGTATTTCTGATTATTTTCTCTGTTCCTGGTTTTATAATATATTTCCAAATTATCACTGTTCTTTAAACAATATTTTTAAAATCTGCTTTTCTTACCTGTCATCCTGTGATGAAACTTTCATGAAAAATTAGTATCTGTAATATAGTTCTTCTTACTCTTTTCTGTATTGCATTGTCACACACTAGTGCGCAATGTCACAATAGTATCTCTGTTGCAAAAGTGGGTTTTTAGTGGATTACCCAAGGCATTTTCAAAAATCAACCTGGCTGTTTAGCTCTACATTTAGAGCCTTCCAGCTCTCATGACAAGGCTTCAGATCAGACCATAAATATGGCATAATGCATTTTTTCTGCCACTGATGCTATTTGAGGTGGGAATTGGGGGAAGAATCCAGCAGCACATCCAGGAAAACAAAGAATAAGCTTTTTAGCTCTTACACAAAAAGTCAAATTGTAGCTTTCACCAGTATTGGTGATAATTACACCAGTTATTTAGTTTAATAATTATTGTAATTCCTGTATTAGTATGAAATAGTTCTGAAGAATTAAATTGTCATATTCCACTGATATAAGAGAGGAGTGTATATTCTGTATATTCTACTGTAACACAAGTTGCTCCTTAATTCTTTGGTTTGTTTGTTTTTTAATTGTGGGAAACTTGTAATACAACAAACTGTTCTATAAAAGAGATCTTGGACTGGCAATGCTGTACCACCCATGGCTTCCTAATGCAGAGTTGAAAACATAATAAAATATAAAAATGAATTAAAAGATGACATGAAAATTACTAATAATGTCATCAGTAACATTCCTTTTCAAGAAAGCCTAATTGGTGAATTCTGCTTGTTGGTCAATGTCGATAGCATTGTTTAAGATACAGAGATTAAGCAAATTAATTATCCAGACTGAACAAAAACCTACATTGTTTGATATCATGTGCTTTTATAATCAGAATAAAAAGAGCTTATCTGTTTCAAAGAAATGAACTTGGTGTATAGAAAATCATTATCAGGTCTTACATGAACGTTAAAGTCATCAACCATCACTCTAAATGTGTCTTGGGAAGCAAACAGAAGACTTAACAAATAGGTTTAGTCTATAAATTCCTGAAGCATGGGGATTGTCTCATAAGAGGAAAGTAATCACTAACAAAATGTTACCCCTAAAGTAAATCACTGCTAATGGAGCTTATTGTTCAAATGTACATTATATGACCAGCCTCATATTCCAAGTGATTAAAACTAGCACCTCAAGGCCTCCTTTACTCTTCCCTTTCCCCTTGTCTCAATTTCAGCTAAAACTATCTACAGCTTTCTCATTAGTAGAATAGACCTCTTGGATCAATGTAGCACTATATTTTCCATATAAAGTCAAAAACAAAATGTTTTTTGCAACTTGAATGCCATTCAATCCCATTCCAGCTGAAAAGGGAGCAATTACATTGGATTTCTACTCCTCAATCTATATCAGAGGTCTTCAAACTTGGCCCTTTTATGACTTGTGCACTTCAACTCCCAGAATTCTGGGAGTTGAAGTCCACAAGTCATAAAAGTGCCAAGTTTGAAGACCCCCTGATCTATATAGTAGTCCTTGCTTACTTTCTTGAATTTGCAGCCATCGCAGTGTCCCCACAGAGAAGCAAAGTCAATCAGGAGTCTGGCAGGAAACCTCAAGCCATGACAATGTGACATATCACGCAATGAGCATATCCCAAGGCAGCAACAAGAACTGCCATCTTAAGTCAGAGTCATCACATGATTTTTTTTCCCTTCCAACTGTGTCACTTACCAATGGAATTTCTGATCCTAATTACGTTTGTTAACTGAGTACTATCTGCACTTGCGTTCATTAAAGCTACATGATATATCATTCAGTGAAAGGAGTTGGGAACCATTAAACCCCAGTGGGAATACTAAGTCATCTGTGATCTTACCATTCCATCCAAGAGTCCATTCATACATTTGATTCTGAGAATTTAAATCTGTTTGTTCTGGCATGTAATTTTTTTTAACTAACTACAAAGTCATTTTGTTAAAGGCAAGTTTTATTTCTAAACTGCTTTTCTCCTGCACATTCCTAGGGCTTATTATTAATATTTTGCTGCTTTTATTAAATTCCCATTTGTTAGATTCTTTATGATGATGGGAAAATGGCAGTTGAAGTGGATGGCCGAGCCACGCAGAAGTTGATCACCAATCTGAAGCCTGAGACATCCTATTCATTTGTGCTAACCAATAGAGGGAACAGTGCTGGAGGTCTGCAACACAGGGTAACAGCAAAGACAGCCCCAGATGTACTACGAGCCCAACCAGTTTTCATTGATAAGACCAATCTAGATGGAATGATAACAGTGAAACTACCAGAAGTACCAGCAAACAAAACTATAAAGTAAGTTATATCTAACAAATATTGTGAGAGCTTAATAACAATTCAAGGAGACTTATAATTTCTTAGAATATTTTCTGTAGTTTAAAGCATTTATTTTTTTAGCCATTGCCTTAAGTGAGGCACTGCAGTATACAGGCAGGCAGTTTAAGATTTGAAATACAGTTTATTGTTTATTGTGATTATATGTTGTCTTTCAAACGGGACCCAGAGATTATGTATTAACTTTTTATTTTATTTTATTTATTTTTTTAAAAAAAAACTTTGCCTTTATTGGGAAGCAGGAGCCACAGATTGGAGAGGGATATTATCAAAAGAATTAAGGGGGAGGCTTAAGGTGCAAAATAAATAAGAGTTAAAATAGCAAAACAGGAAAATAAAATATCACAGAACCTTAACAGACCTGGGTTTTACACCTCATTTTTGCAAAAGTCTGCAGAAAATCATGAAACTGAAAATGTACATTTCAGCATTATAGTCAGGGGTGTGAGGCCATGAAATATTTTCTGCCCATCCTTATGCTAGTACAGAAGGATTGTTTACCTACAACTGAACTGAATTAGCTTGACCTCAGTTCAGACTGAATAATAGCAATACATTTCATTGGTCTATTGCTCATAGAAAGATTGGCGCTTTCCCCCCCAATTCGCACTGATTTTCTCATTCAGTTTATTGATGTGATTTGTAAATGTAAATCAATAAAGAGATCCAAAACAAATCATTCAAATTAGATTTGACCTAGTTCACCCAAATTTCACCAGAAATTTATTCAAATGAAGCAAATCTAGCTTCCTCCCTAACTTTTACTTCATTGTAGGATTCAAATTCTAGGACCATGAGAATTGTTTATGTATTATTCTCCAAGGGGAGAATGTCCCATAGGGCAGGGGCAATGACAGAGAAAGCTCTCTTCCTACCAGTCAGAGCTCTTTAATTCTAATGGGGTCTGCAACAAACCTTCCATGCTTGATCAGGTGGCACAATCTAATGTAATGGACCGAAGACAGTTCCGACGGTAAATTTTTAGCAACTATTTAGGATGGAAGTGAGAAGAAATATCTGGCTTTAAGGCAAAAACATGGTAATTTATAAAATGTTTTGGAGGGGTAAAATATTAAATATGAAACGGGATAATCTATAATTATTTTTAAAATATAAAACTTTAAAATATAAAGCAGAATCAGGGATATACTGTTCAGTAGTGCTTAAAAACCCATCCATATAAATATACAATGAAATCATGAATGTTTTTTTCAAGTTTCTATGAATTATTGCCAAAAATATATTTTTTCACAAGAAGATATATTTCAGATGAATGTGTACAACCATTGTTCATCAATTTAAAAAAAGCAGAGATTTCTTTTAGTTTTCTACTTAACAGTCATACTTCAACATTCACTATTCATATAAATATAAATGCAGAGAGAATTTCCTTCTTTTCTCATCATACAATAACATTCACCTCTCTTGAGCTCATTATGGCTAAATACATTTTATTTGCAAAATCCCTCTTCCTATCAAGCATTTTCTGGTATATCAAAAGTCATTAAATATAATAGTTATTCCTATTTGTCTTTGTTATTTAACAAACACAGTATCAGTAATATTAATATACATGCAGACACACACATACACGTAAAAGGGGGTGGGGAAGTAAACCAGGAATAGAATCAAATGTACATTTGAATTTGGGAGTTATAAATATATTACTGTAACGTGCATACCTATATGGAATACTTTCATGCGGAATAACTGGTATGGATGAAAAAGTTTTTTAGGAAATACAATGCTGTTACAGGTAGTTGCTTAATGATAGTTCAAAGTTGTGGACTTTTAAAAAAAAACTATTTACATGTTGTCCTCAAAATTACAACTGCCAAATCCCTCCCATGTGATCATGGTCATGTGATCACTTTTGGGTGCTTGTTCATTGGCTTGCATTTAGGACTGCTTGCAGTTTTACACAGAGAGGTGACCACAATTTGTGCCATTTCTGGCAAAAAAGAATCATTGGAAGAATAGATTTGCTTAACAACCACATGATTTATTTAATATTTGTAGTAATTTGCTTTATAGCTGTCCCCAGAATGATTGCAAAATTCCATCAAGTCTCAGGGTGACTTTACTTTCAACCTCAATAACTTACAAATAAAACTCCAGGCTCTGTTGTGGTCATACCTCAAAGGCTACCGTATGACTAAAACGATGAGTAGATTTGGATAAATATATTCTTCATTCTAAGAAATTTCTTGGTTATTCCTAAAATTAACATTAACATCACGTACTATATGTTTACCTGTTCAAAATCATCATATTAATACAGCAACAGTAGTTTAATGTGTCTTCCTTATAAAAATTATCATCAAACACTGAGGTATAAAGCTGTATTTCAGAAAAGGCAAGATGTGATTTAAATCCAAAAAGTAATCTTGCAACACATGAATTTGATAGGTATGTTTTTGTTCACAGTCCTGGAACATGGTTTACGATGCTTTTTTTAAATGGGTCTGTGCAGATTAAACAGGGATAATATTAAAAAGCTGACATTGCAATGCCAATTGGGATTTAAAATGATGGACAATAAAGATTCCCAGGAAAGACTGTACACCATGCAGTCAATAAGTGTTACTGCTTTGTTTGATTACAACAGTGTGATGTATATAGCAGAAAAGAAAGAGAGGAAAATAAAATATTGGTCTGTATGCAACATATTTTTCATGTAATCCTTTGTATCCTGAGTTTCACACAAAGCCATTTTTACTGCTTTAGTGAACTTCTAAAGAGGGCTGTAGGAAAGAAAATTCTAAACCATTAAAATGCATGAAAAATTAGTCCACAGTTACTAATAAAATACATACATAGTTTATAAATATAAATGGGAAACATTACAGATTAAAATCACCAGAAATACAACTTGATAAGACAGATAGCTAATGCCTGTCTAGAAGACAACTTCCCAAAGTAACTTAGGAGCCATAGCACATATCATAATCACAGCACCATAATTTGATTTTTATAACACATGTAAGAATATATTAATTTTGGAAACTAATATTAAAAACCAGTATACATAATGGAACATTGTTTATAAATATGTATTTTAGGATAAAATATAACTGTTTACAAAATTACATATGAAATGCACACATTTTAATCAGATTTTTAGTTATAGCTGATAAGTTATTGAAGCATACATTTTCAACAAGAAATATGAGGTACAATAAAGAGCTTCATGGTAGGAAAAAAAATGAAAATATGCAATAATATTCTCTTCTTAAGGCTTTCGGTGTTCTTCAAATGATCTCAATAAGGACAGAATATCATACTACATTTGTCTGTGTTTTCACTGAGCAAAATTCTTCTCATAGTTCTCATAGGTGACTAGTCTAAGTTTTGAATGACATGAATGTGAAAGCACAACTGATTACAAAGCCCATGTGCCTTCTATAACATTGTATGGAATTACAGAGGTAAATATTAATAGAAAACATTTCTATAAATATTCAAATATCAAATGATAAGAGTGATCAGGAAGGAAGGAAGGAAGGGAAGGGAAGGGAAGGGAAGGGAAGGGAAGGGAAGGGAAGGGAAGGGAAGGGAAGGGAAGGGAAGGGAAGGAATCAAATCATTATTATGGTCATTGATCAGCATAAATCAGAAGAAATATTTTTGTGTTGGATAAGAAGAGATTGGTATAAGCCTTTCAGTTTAATCACATAATTTTGGGGACCAAAAGGGAAACTGCCAGAACTACTCCAATATGGATAGAAATTACAATTTATTTCTTTTACCCATATTTTTATGTTTTCTATTTCTTATGTGTCTTTTATAGATTTTCTAAGTAGTATAAAGTTATTATTTTCTATAAATACAGTTTCATTTGGATTTTTGTTATAAATTGGATGGATAGAAATCTGTTCTAAAAAGCAGAGTTCAACACTATTAACCCATCACTAATCTCTACTGACAACAAAATTTTCATTTAAATTCCATGAAAATAAATTCTGTCACACACGGACAAAAGATTCTATCCACTGAGAGTTTCTGATTACATCAGGAAAAACAGTACATTCTGATTAAGACACACCATCTGGACATCTTCATCTGCACAACCAGGATGAAAAATTTAAATGCCATACATGCCAATAAAAATTCCCTCTTCAAGGGAGTTGAGCACGATCTTCTAATTCCAGTGTTGCTGATTGTTTGATATATCCAACTCAACCTAAATAAAGAGTAAAGAAGATAGCCATAATAAGAATATGTGAAAACTGTTACTTTGGTAAAAGGGCCTGAACCATTGTTTTAAAGTTCAGAACATCCAGATTACATCCAGACAATATAAGGGAGCAGGTCATTGAACTATAAGAAAGAGGAGGACGTATGGTTCAATCAAACTTGCAATATTGCAAACTTGAAACAGTTTGTTATTATAACCAGCCTCAATAAAAGTAGTTTTAATCCTCCCATGGAGCTTATTTCAGGGTCCCGTCTATCAAACTGCCGACCCGTGGGCCACAGGGAAACCGCGGCCACCCCATTGCCGGTAATGGGAAAAAAGCTCCAATACGTTGCGCAACGTCACGTGACGTGAGTTTGACATCTGATCTAGTGGGACTGACAGATAGCCAGATATAAGTAGTCCTCGCCTTACAACCATTTGTTTAGAGACCGTTTGAAGTTACAATGACATGACCATTTTTCACATTTACGGCTACTGCAGCATCCCCATGATCATATGATCAAAATTCATATGCTTGGAAATTGGTATTTTTTTATGTCAATTGCACAGTCCCAAGGTCATGAGATCATCTTTTGCAACCTGCTGATCAAGTAAAGTGGGAAACGAGATTCGCTTAACCAACCGTGTTACTAATTGTCAACTGCCTTGATTCACTTAGCAACTGTGGCAAGAAAGGTCGTAAATAGGCCAAAACTCACTTAACAACTATTTTGCTTAGCAATGGAAATTTTGGGCTCATTTGTGGTCATAAGTCGAGGACTATCTGTAATTACATTTCAGTTAATCTATGTCAAATCCCAAATTTGTTTTTTTTTTTTTAAATTTGGCTTTTTGGTGTGATGTAACCCAGCCAGTGTTCTGCCTTTAGCAATGATTTTTTCCCCCTAAAATTCTGCTCTGGATTGTGAAGCAAGCTTCCCTTATGACACTTGAACATCTAAACAGATTTGCATGAAAAAATCTGTACATAACCCTGGGCAAATATTTTCAAAACTCTATTGGCAAAGAAACTTATGCCAAAGCATGCTAAAGGAAAACTAATGAAACTGTACAATTATATATACATACACGAATACATACATATACAGCAGTGATTTATGCTGATGATCTCTAATTAGATTGCCAACACACCTTAGAGGTAGTAGTACATATCAGAGTAGATTCTTAACCTATCAGCACAGCAGTCATTCCTAATGTGATCAAAAGTTCATGGAAGACAGAGTGGGGCTATGGAATATGAATATTATCAATGCCATGTACTGAACCTAGTAGATACAATGATGAATATCACATTACAGCATAGTAAGAGCAGTCTTATATTCAGGAAAATTGGTATATAGATTAAAATCTTGTTATACAATTTACTCTGACTAAATGCTGAATGGGAAATAATATTTGGATTGCCTGCTCAGAACTGACCCAATCAGGAATACAGGTAATCGTTGACTTACAACCACAATTTGGACCAGAATTTCTGTTGCTAAGCATGGCAGTCACTAAGTCGCACCTGATTTTACATTTTTGTCATGGTTGTTAAGCAAATCACTGCGGATGTTAAGTGAATCACATGATCCTTAAGCGAATCCAGTATCTCCATTGACATTGCTTGTCAGAAGCCAGGTGGGAAGATTGCAGATGGTGATCACATCACCTGGGATGCTGCCATCCTTGTAAACATATACAGGTTGCCAAACATCCAAATATCATTCTTGGACCATCGGGATGTTGCAGTAGCCATAAGTGTGAAGACTGTCCATAAATCACTTTTTTCAGAGCTGTTGTAACTTTGAATGGTCATTAAATGAATGGTTGTAAGTTAAGGATTACCTGTAGGAATATCTAATTGAGAGAACGTGTGCGAGAGATTATGATTTGTTGCAATATGAATCACCAAATACTCATTGACAGCATTAGATATCTGTGTTTCATAATATAACATTTTATTGCCTATATGAAAATAACTTATTAAAAGTGTTTGGCATAACACAATATAGTTCACAAGTGAACAATTAGCTCAGCATGAAAATCATTTTCTATAGCAGTTAACAGCTTCAGAGTTTTTAAAAAGGATATGTGTGTGTGTGTGGTTTGTATGTCTGTGTGTGTTATTAACACAGTTTGCCAGTTTGTTCTAAAATGGTAATAAGTTTATTTTCTCCCTTGCTTTAGTTTTTCTAATGTTTTGATTAATAATATATTAAGATGATGGACATGAGAATGAGTGCTACTACTAATTTTACCAGAGATGTTATTCCATGCAGGACAATTAACAATTTCTGTACAAAAATAGTGTATACATTTGTTTATGCTTGCAGCAAAACCATCAGGAATTACTGAGGCATATTTATAGGTAGAGAACTTAAAATGAGAGCTCATAATTTGTCCAAGACAATCACTGAAACCACGAACAAGGCTAGCTTTTGAATCACAGCTTTCTAAGTCTGAATATAAAAAATCCTGGACTTTTGGTCTTTTTTATTATTTTTTATGAAGGAACAAGGACGACAACCTGTAGTCACTTAAATAATGCCATTGTCAATTACATCAATAATTTAAAAAAAAGATTTTATACAGAGTAATACAGGTATAGTAAACGTCAGATTTATGAATTTATTGATATTTTTGGGCAAAAACAGAGCAGCAGTGTGTTGCTTTATTTTCATTGCATTATTTTTTAATTTTTAAGATTCAATTTTCTTATCTAATTTAAAGTGGCTTGGTGCAATCTTATCAGTGCTTAGCAAGAAGTATTAGTCAAGTTAGAAGGCCAAATCCTAGATCCATATTTAAGAGCCATTTTCCCAAAGCTGACTTTAGAATAAAGGCAATAAATACAATGTGGATAAAATGCCTGTACTTTCTTTTAAAAGGCTATCGTGATTTCATATGAGAATTTAAAACTTTAGTTAGATTTTTATCTCCTCCCCGTGGAATCCTTAAGGAGAAGGTCCAAGTGATCTAAACGACTTCTTCATTGAAAAGTGATAACGTTTTACAATCTAACCTGGCTACATGTATGTATTGATTTCACAAATGTGTGGTTCCATTAAGTGATTGCAGCTGTGTTTGAAAACAGATTGTAGAGAATAATTGCCAAGAAATATAACTTTTCATATGCCTTCTTTAACTGCTGATAGGGAGTTTAAAAGAAAGAAAGAAAATGATAATGGATATAGAATTCTTTTTAGAAGGAAAAAGCTATTAAAGTGTGTATCAGTGCATACCAAGAATGATTTCTCCCTTCAAGCTGCTTTTTCAGCAGCATGGCCAGAAACCTATTCAGACTCTCTTAGCTTTACCCCTATAATTTAAAAGTGTATTTCATTTATACTTCATATACCTGATATTGCCCTTTTCATTGTCAAAAATACTTCACTATTAGAGAGCGATAAATCATTATTAAAATATAGTGCTTACACTTTTTTCTTTCATATTGAGAGAGAGATAATAATTTAAATTGTTGTGAAATTGTGCCATTAGCAGAGTACAAAGTCAACCAGAGCTACTTTTGCAAGGGTTAAGGAAGGAGGAGGATAAGTGGGATAAGAAATGCACTAGCGTTGTCATTTGCTCTATTTAACTTTCCCCAAATATCTAGAATATTAATATTTCATCTTGAGAAAGGGCCCAAGAAGATACAGAAACGGAGCTCCTATAGTAGCCACCACCCAAAAAAACCAAAAATAAGTGTAGGCATTCTTCTGAGACTGTTTTTGGGACTATTATACACTATGATATAATTCTAGCTTTATAGGATGATGCACGAGAATGGGCAGTTTGGAGGGTTAGGAATTTGGGATGCTGTTGAATTGGACTGTTTTCTTTGCATTCCACAATATTATTTTTGCCAACCTTTTGAATTTATATGACATTTAAACCATTTTATACCCATAACCCAAAGTTGCCTTGTGGTAAAATGGGCAGAAAACAAATTTGATAATAAATAAAATATTATTCTCTTTTTTAAAAAAACAAACAAACTTGATGATAGTAAAGCCTTTTTTCCCCAAATAAATCACAACCAGTTCAGTTTAAAAAAAACAAAAACAAAACTAAATAACATTTTTTTTGCTTATTTGAACATATCATTAAATATAAAAAAAATTAAACATGACCTATTTAAACTGATAATCTCGAAACAACCCACTACAGAACGTAGACTTGTTCGTTGAAGGTCCATTCATTATGGATCAAATTATACTGTGACACTTTAGTACAGGTTGTAAATAGATGCTTTGCAACTTCCAGTCTAAAGCTGACAAAGACTGACTGATCTCACATGACTCATCCTTGCCCAAAGAAGAACCACAACCTGGATTTCCCTGTTCCTCTAATCACTATCCCAAGAAGCTCTGAGATAAAGTGATAACTTACCAAAATTTCTTCCAAACTTCATGTCTCCTCTGAAGAAAAGCCACCCAATTAGCTTCACTTGAATTTTAAGTTTTGCAAGCACTAAATCCTTCAAAATGTAAGCATTCAAAAATGAGTGAAATTATTGCTTTCTACTATGCCAAAGTTTATCATTAGATTTATAGTGTTTCTGTTGTTATTACAAAGCGCTAAACACAATATTGAAACTTAATAGAAGAGTTCAATTAGCAGTACATACATATTTGTATTTAATATTAATTTCTTATAGTAGTGTATTATTACTGCTGTAGAGATAAGTTATTCTATATAGAAGCTTTCCAATGAATTCCCTTTATGTAAACCTCACTGTTACATTTTGTTTCATTTGCAGAGGTTACTATATAGTAATTGTACCTTTGATAAAGAAATCAGATGGAAAATTCATGAAACCACGCGAGAACCCAGATGAAATGGAATTAGATGAGGTACCCTTTGTTTATTTTAGCTCTTTTTTCCCAGAGAAACCTTTTCTGATTGAAGCAGTCTTAATGGTTGTGTCCAATTAATGTATTCATGTCAGCAAGTTGACTTTTTTTAATACTTTGTCATTTATATTGGAGTTAGTTTCTGGGAGCAAACAAAAAGCTAATTACGTAAATTAAAATACATTAAGTTGCAATGAGGCACATAAACTGTCTGCTCTTTGTTGTCATTAATATTTTATTCCTTGCTGATTGTAAGGCGTAATGTAGAAAATGAAATGACTTGTCAGCAAAAGTATAATCACCATTGATATGAACTCCAATAAAGGTCTGGTTCATTAATGGGGGTATTTGCTAAAGCTGAATCAAATGCTAAATTGCAATTTGCTCTGCCGTTTAACATTTGACCTCCCTCACAGTCTCTTTACCTGTTTCAGCTATGCTGAAATACTTCTAATTAGAAAGTGTATCTATTATTTTTAAACTCTTGTTCCTTGCACTCCAGATTCAACCTAAACAAAAAAAAAAAAACTCCTTCATATTCTCCGAATAAGAGCCAAATAGTGGAGCCAGAAGATGTATTTAGTCCATTTCTATCATCCTTATTGTAAAATAATTAATCAGTGACATTAGAATCTTCCATATTTTGATATTTTGCGATCATTAGATTTTCTTCATTTTTTCTTCTAAATACATCTTACTTTAGAAAGAGAGGAAGAATTTAAAAATACCAGTCCTGTCTAGAAGAGATACTTATGTAAGGTTGGTATAATATTCACCTATATGTTCATTGGACATGGCTACAGAAATTGATTTTTGAAATCTTCTATTTTCAAAGAAAGTATTGAATCATTTAATCTTTATTACATTTTCAAGAATAGAAATATGATCTTATATTTTCATATATTTTTGATATATCCCCTGGGATGGATGTTCTGATGGTTTTTTCTTATGATAAAATTTGTTAGTTGGATACATTTACATGTAAGGCAATTGGATAACTTTCATAATAATATTTGTGTTGATAAAATAGAGGTTTTTCTTCCTAGTAAGCTTTGCAGTATCAGTTTTGGAATGTCTGGAAGTAAAGGTTTATGAACTTTTAACTACTTTTTTTTATACTTGGTATCCAGTATCCAAAGTATTCAGATAAGGACATCTATGCAGCGGTTGGTTGAATTGTGTACAAGGCTGATCAGAAACAGTGTTATTATCCATTTGGCAGAAATTCATTACTTTAAATAGTTAACTAGTATTCTTAGGTACTTGAAAAATAAATCTGTTAAATCTTAGATGTAATTGTCATGCAAATGTGATTTTGTTCTCCATTATGCAAAGGCTAGTAAAACAGATTCAGATAGTATTACCTTGGTTGATGTTGGTTTCTCTTCAGGTTTTCTCAAATTGTTTCTCAGTTGATTACTGATTTTACTCACAATTTGAAGTGTTTTGTATATCTAATCAACAAAGTTAACCTACCTTGATTTCAAAGGTTATATAATATGATACCATAGAGGAATGAGGGTTTTTTAAGTTAAAAATCATGATGCATAATTTTATACATTTAAATGTATTCATTCATTACATTACATTAGTTGCTGCCTAACCTCAAATTGACTCTATGTACTTTACAACATAAAATAATTAACAATAATTTTAAAAAAAAACAACTAAAATGTATCCCATACCCAGCAAAGAGCTCCAGGCACAGCCTGGGAGAAGAACCAGGTCTTTAAGGCCCTCCGGAATGCCATTTTACCCAGATTTCAGGGGAAACCTAATTCTAGAAGGCAGGCACTGTGACAGCAAAAGCATGTTTCCAGCGTCCTGATGGCACCACATAATCAAACAAACTTAGGGTGCACCAATCCTGCCATACTGACTGCTAAGAAGACACTACAGTCCCTCAAGTCACCAGGCTTGATTCTGTGTAGGGCTGTAACAAGTCATGACAGGGTCTATAGGTCATAACTAGCAGCTTGAATAACACCTGGAAGCAAACTGGTAACCAGTGGAAGACACAAAACTGGAGTATCCCACGTGCATACTCAGACATGTCCATCACTAACCATACCATTGCATTCTGACTACTTGAAGTTTTCAAAGGCTCTTTAAATCCCTTGTAGAATATGTTGTAATAATTGTACTATGAGATGATTAGAGCTCTCTGAAGAGCACAACTGGCACATTAGATTAAGTTATATAATGGTCTGCCTGTGTACAGCTGCCACCTGCTCATTAAGCAAGGACTGTGGATCCAGGGAAATTCTCAAGTTGTCCTCTTGAAAGGGAAAGTGTTACCCCATCCAAAGTCAGAGCTAGAAGACCTCCAGATCTAGGTTTTGCTAATATCCCCAGCCATTTTGTGACAGAACTTCAGAAGCCTCACTTGGCCAATTTGGAGTCAAAAGATATAATTGTGTAGGAGAAGAGCAAGCAGAGCTGAAATGGGTGGAGTTAAGCGAGTCATCAGCATCTAGTCCTGTGTATAGGTTTTGCATGCATATAATAAGATATTTGGGGAAACAAATTCCATTGACCAATATACCAGTCATAACGGATTACAATGTGATACTTCAAGGGCCTTGAATTGCTGTATAATTAAGTTCTTTGTATTTGTGGTACTATTACTCAGAACAAAATTATTTTCATAATTGTTTATGTTGTGATGTGTTAATTAGCATAATACTTTGACAAAGAATACTAATTCATAAATGTTAAAGTATATTTTTTAGTTTATCAAAATATAAAATACAGAGAAATAAAGAAAAAATGAAGGTAATGGGAAAACAGGGAAGGAAAAGGAGAAGAGGAAAAAGTGTAGAATAAAGGGGAAAAGAAAAAGAAAAGCATTGACTTCCGACTTCTTTTGATGCAGTAGAATAAGGTAATAACATACAATCTCAACTAATTCAGAAACATTTAGTAAGGATAGGGTCTTCCCCATATTTTTCCAAGAATAATTCACAATAGAATACAACATTTTATGGAACTACCAAAAAAACCATCTTTAAGAGGAATCTTCTGTTTTGGATTACTTTCTTACAAGAGAACAGCTGCATAGGGTAATACTAGGGGAATGGCATTCTTCTACCAACAAGAATGCTCTAGTCAATGCTGGAATTCCAGGTGTCCAGTGGTGATCAATTCAAACTCAATGCTAAAGTCATTGAAAACCTATTTTCTGCATGGAGCTCTGCACTGATCTGGTCCCAGATGCACTGGCAGATGTTAGTCTTTTTTCATATCTCATTTGTGGCTTTGGGAAAGAGAGGACAATAAAACACAGTGCCAGCAGCAGCTAGTCTGGTGCAGATGGGCAAAGTATTATTGAAAATATACCTAAATGTTTTCTATTACTCTTTTATTTCCAATTTTCTAGTCATTCTTTTTCTTATAAAAATGAGGAAAAAAAATAATGACCAGAAAATTGGAAACAAAGTTAATATTGGGAGGGGGGGAAAAGAAATAGAAAATGTTTAAGTATATTTTCAGTAATCTTTGCCAACATGCAGTAGTATTTTCATTTAAATAGTAGCAGTAATTACCAAAAGTAAACCTTTCAGCAGTTCAGAGGTTATTCAATTCAAAATTAATTATCCCAGTAACAGGTTCCAAACGGAAAACATTTGTTCACATTAAAAAGGATCTTTGCTGAATATAACTTCTAAATAAAAACATAAGAAAAACATAAGAATGAAAGTAAAATTCACTTTGTCTCAATTTTTGTGTGGATATACGTCTCCAAACTATATCCAAACTCAGAATTTTATAACTATCCTAACTGAAAAATACTACATCTATTAGGAAAACATATATTGTTTTTTTATATTGCTTATGAAATGTCCTTATTATGGTCTATGACCATCGTTACAATAAAAAATACAGTAGAAAGAGAAATAGTTTAACACAGCAATTTGTTATTGGGATTGGGGAAAAAATAATACGCCAACATAATTAAAGTTTTAGTAGTAGTAGATGTTTGACCACCTGATATGAGAGTATGGATTAGCATTCCTTAAAAAATAATAAACATAAACTTTATCTATATGTCCTTCGTATTTGGAAATGATTGAGATAATCATATGGGGAAACATAGAAAGGACACCACATAAGGACATAGGCAAGAGTTTCTACCTCCCTGAATTCACAAAGGCCAGATTTCTGTAAATAATAAGTCCCATGAAGTCTTCCAACCAGCAGAGATGATGGGGGCCCATTTATATTTGCATTAAATTGTACAGATACCCCTCAATACAGGGCTTGTGACAATTTGGCATATATCGCTAATCAAAGAATGAGTGTTCTAGGAACGCTTCTCTATGTATGAAAAGATATTTGAAATTTTGTGCGTTTTTGGACAAATTTTCAAATTTATATATTGTAGTAACACAGTGAAATTAAAATAGCAGGGAAAATAGGAAGCCAAGAGAAATTTGAATTGCCTCCCTGCTGGAGCAAGAGATTATGACATTGACACTCATTAACATTTGTATACCTGTCTTAGTCTCTGAAACTGAATCTTTTCTTAAAACTGAGGCTGAAAAGTGGCAAAAAACATCATAAATTGCGGTTACATGACGCAGAACGTTGCAACCAGCCATAAAGTTCTGCCAGCTTCTAAGCACTCAAAATGCGGTCATATATGACCACAGAGAGTGGCAGCGGTCGAAACTCTGGATCCGGGCCATGAGTAGCTTTTGGTAAGTCTGTCATAACTTTAAATGGTTGCTAAGCAACTGGTCATTAAGTGAGGACTACCTGTAGTGAAAAAAACATTTTACAAGCCATTGGTATAAGACATGTTTATACATTGTTTCCCAAGGTCTCACAAAAACTTTGCCATAGCTTTAATCTAGAATCTGCAATTCTAGCAGGCTTCTCCAATTTCCCAATATGCCGAGGTTACAACACTCACAACGTCTTAACCGACGTATCGGACAATATTGGCATAAGACAAAATTATACTTAGTATTAAAACAGCCAGTTATTGAACTAATATTTGACAATTCAGTCTTAATTTTTAAATATATTATTGATCAAGCTAATCCTGGCACTGTACATTCATGCTGTTCACGTGAAATCTGCAAATACTGCGGCAAGCCACATCAGTTAGGCCTAGGTTTCATTTGAAACAAAGCAGCAAATTGTCCTGCTAGCTTCAGCTTATTGAAAGTCTGCTAAAATCAGCTGTCTTTGCTTTCAAGAAGTTGCCTTTAGAATTGTGATGTAAGGCTGAAATGGAAAAATTAGAAGTGGCAGGACTACTTTAGGAGAGCTTTAGGAATAATGTATTTATAAAGAGACTGGATCAGTAACATCTGATGGAAATGCTTTAAGGTGTTGCAGACTGTTGCTCTGTTTGTATTCCTAGACCTTGAAAGGCCCCTTGTTTATTTATTTCGTGTATAAGATTTTAATATTTTGGTTTTGTTCAATTTATATTATTGATCATGTCACAGAAAATAAGATAAAAGAATACAATGTGTTGGGATATAAAAAAAAAACTATTCAATGAAATGATTATGTAAGGCTTGGCAATTGATCCCAATCTGATCTAGATAGGAAGCTCTCAGCTGAATGGCTTTAGTTATAAATGTTGCAACCCTTACTTGAAGGAAGATAGCTTATTGGTGGGTCTCAACAGACTATCCTGTCAATTAGTGACTTCAAATGTTGTGCTCTGTGTTGAAGCAAGCAGTTGGCATTCTAAGAAGCTATTTTGATTATGTTTTCTTTTTACTTAAAAAAAATAAAAGTGTCATATATTTATGTATTACATTTTTTGTGCGTTTTTAAAAAATCATTAACTGCTTGAAAACAATATGTACTTTTAGTCAGAAATCTGTGTTTGGAGCCAGGTTTCGCTTGCTGAACCCCAGAAAGCTATAAGAGTGATGTCATACAGATAGTCCTCAACTTACAACCACAATTGAGCCCAAAATTTCTGGTGTTAAGTGAGACATTTGTTAAGTAAGTTTTGCCCCATTTTATAACTTTTCTTGCCAGAATTGTTAAGTGAATCGCTGCAGTTGATAAGTTAGTAATCCGGTTGTTAAATGAATCTGGCATTGACTTTGCTGGTCAGAAGATGATCGCATGACCGTGGGATACTGGACTGTCATAAGTATGAGTCAGTTGCCAAGCATCCGAATTTTGATCACATGATCATGGGGATTCTGCAAAGGTCATAACTAGGAAAAACGGTCATAAATCACATTTTTCAGTGCCGTTGTAACTTTGAACGATCACTGAATGAACTGTTGTACGTCGAGAACTACCTGTAATGATAATTCTGCAACAATCACATTCTTTTTCTATATTCTCAGGTGTATTAATATTTTAGCTTAGTCCCTGTGAAAGAGACTTTATTAAATAAACAGAGCAACATCTGCTTCCAGAGACAATGCTCTATCACTACTGTTTGTCAATCTTCATTTTTCCCCTGTGATAAATTTGGGACTATTATGCCAGTGCTGTTTTAACTGTGATTTACTACTGTTCAGAAAATTCACAATGAATTAATGCTGGAATGGAAAGAATAATATTTTATTAATGTTTTGCCCCAATTCTTTTAACAAAAACCATTAATGTGATGGAAGGAATATAATGCTATCTGGCCTATTATTTAAGAGAATTAAATCACATATTTATCAAATATATCAATCATTCAGCTTTTCTGAAAAACTGCTTAATAGTTTGTTACTAGAAGGGATCATAATGTTCAGTATTAAAACCTGTTTTGATTCTGATGAGGCTTTTTAAAAAGGTATGATATTCATTTAGATTTCTATATTTATATTTATTAAAAAATATCCTATTGAGTGCAGTGAGGTATAGTCCTAGGTACATGTGCATAGGATTACAACAGAATTATAAATCATATTATGGTTTACAAAACCATAGTTCTTAAAACAGATTATGATTTACAAAATCCATGGTTCTTAAAACTAGATTAATATTTTTATCATCCTGTGGTGTTAGTTTAATTTTATTTATAGTTATCTTTCCATTTTTTTGCTTCTCTCTTTTTTCTTTTATACCCTAAAGCTACTGAAAGAGATAGCACGAAAACGCAGAAGCATTCGTTTGGGGAGAGAAGCAGATTTAAAGCCATATATTGCAGCACACTTTGATGTTCTTCCTACTGAGTTCACCCTGGGGGATAAGAAACAGTATGGTGGTTTTGAGAACAAGCAGCTCCAAAACGGCCAAGAATACGTTGTCTTTATTTTAGCTGTGATGGAACACTCAGAATCAGTAAGTTGGCTGCAGGTTTGATTTTTTTTCCCCTCCCTTAAATGTAGTATTTAAAGACTCTATCTTATCTCCACACAGCTCATACTTTGTCTATGTTCTTACACATTAAGAAATGGTTACATGTTTTGGATGACCTACGGTATGTTATAAGAATACTTTCTATCTGCATTTTAAACAATCTGGATTTATTTATTTATTTAATCTAATTTAGATGGTAACACATCTTATACAAGGGGGATCTTAAACCAACCATTAAAAGCAAATACGAGGGCAATTCAGAAATAAACCTCTGTTTCGTTATCAATGGCAGACACCCGCAGATACAGAACTTTTATTATACACATTAGAAAACTACAGTATTACATTACTTTTCAACATAATTACTATTCAAATTGTGGCACTTGTCATAATGTCTTACAAAGTTTGAAATTCCTTAGTAGTAGTCGCTTGGCATCAAATCTGGGCTATAGGGGAGGTGAACAAAAAACATCCCAATGGAACTGCTTCAAAAGTTCTCGGGTGCATCTAGCAGTGTGCAGGCGAGCATTATGGTGAACCAAAACCACACCGGAAGTCAGCATGCCCCAATGCTTGTTATGGATAGCTGGCCTGAGTTTTTGTAACATTTCACAGTAGACTTCTGAATTGATGGTCGAACCACGTTCCATGAACTTCACTAGCAGTACTCCTTTGGTATCTTCACATTTGACAGGATTTTCTATGGCACCACTTCCGGTGTAGTGTTGGTTCGCGATACTGCTCGCCTGCACACCGCTAGATGCACCCGAGAACTTTTGAAGCGGTTCCATTGGGATGTTTTTGATCACCCCTCCATAGCCCAGATTTAATGCCGAGCGACTACTACTAAGAAATTTCAAACCTTGTAAGACGTTATGACAAGTGCCTCAGTCTGAATGGCGAGTATGTAGAAAAGTAATGTAATGTTGCAGTTTTCTAATGTGTATAATAAAAGTTCTATATCTGCGAATGTCTGTCATTGATAACCAAACAGAGGTTTATTTCCGAATTGCCCTCATATAATCACTTAAAACAATTAAATATCAACATAAGTAAAACCAAGATTGGAATTAATTAAGATGTCATATATGGTGCAACCAATATACAGGTTCTCTACTGTTGGGAACTCCAGGCCTGATTGGAAAAAACACATTTTCAGGACTTTCTAAAAAGCCATACGGGTTGGGGCTAATCTCACCACTTGGGTCAACACACAATGGAGCAGCAAGTGTGAACAACTCTACTCTCTGCTTCTGCCTCTATTTAATTTTTCATATTGATATGCCATCATCAGACCATGACATGTGCATTTATTCTAGCTATATGGTATGTCGTTCACATGTACATATATAGTTTGTCTCCAAATTGAAGGGGTATTATACATAGTAATGACTGACTACAACATATATTGAAGGCATTGGCATAGAAAGTAATGATATGTGTAACTCTTAAGTATTTCCATTTCCCAGAGTAAACAGTTGGTATCCTCATTTTAATCATTATAGTATATCTTCTGCTTTGCTTCTTGAAATATCTGATAATTACTGAGGCATGAATTTTTACATCTAATGGTTTCTCTTTCCTGTCTCAAAACATATTGTCCAGACAATGTTGTTTTTTATGAAACATTTTTGAAAAACAGGAATTAATCAAGAAATGCAAAGCTGACTTCTTTAATTACAGTATTTTGTCAATGATCAGCAGTGAAATGTAACAGAATTAGAAAATATTGTAAGAAAAAGTAGAATTCCTGAAGTGATTTAAATAATTGTACTGTTGTGCAATTCATCTCTTTCATATGTTTGTTACACGCTTGAATTATTTAATATATTTTTAAAAAATAAAAAAGGAAGGAAAAAAGGCTTTTGGGAAAGAAGAGCAGCCAATATTAACATTTCAATTTACAAGTTACATGGTTTTTTTTTTTCAAATTGGTTGTTAACCTGTCACATGTATTTACTTGGTGGGCTTTGTTGAATTTAATTCATTTTAGTTAAAGGCTTATTGTAATTGTTTTTCCCAGGTATACTGTTAATTGCAAAAAGTCTTCTTACTTTAATATTCTTTTACAATTATAGAAAAGGTATCCCTTTTCTACTTTTGTTTGAAAAGTCTTGCCAAGCTAAACCTTTAACTGTGAGAAGGAAACAAAGTTCATTGTGTCTAGTTCTAAATATATATGTAATAGAATGTCTTATATTCACCACTGTGTGATTAAGTCAGATTTTTGTCCCCATCCAGACCATGTTTGCAACCAGCCCATATTCTGACACAGTTGTATCAGTGGATCTTAATCCCCAGCCAATTACAGAAGAGGAAGAGGGTTTGATCTGGGTTGTAGGACCAGTCCTTGCAGTTGTATTTATCATCTGTATTGTAATAGCTATTCTACTTTATAAAAGGTAAGTTTACAAAATAGTGTATAGAGAAGGTGTTAATTGTGTTGAAAATATTTTTAGATTAAAAAAGAAGCTTCCTTACATAAAGGACTCTTTTTAGACATTGAATGAAATCAGTGTTTCATTCTTAACAGATGAAGGGATCACCCAGGCTAGGTGTCTCTTCTAGATTTCTGTAAAAAATACATACAAGAGCAATAATTTCTCAGGAAAGAATACAATCTTATTGTCAGTGTAATTTTTTTCCCCTTGGAATCAAGAAGTAGGTTTTGCAATGTATGCTTTTGCTTGCCTTGTTTTAGTTTTATCTCTTATCAATTGACACTGCTATCTTCGTGCTATTTGTTCTTTTTGACATTACCATGTGTGGCTGATATAAAATAGTTCCATGTTTGAGAACTGGCCGGTGGAAAATAAATCATGCTTTCTACCAGGGAAAACAATATATTCTTAAGAAAAAAGAAGAAGATGTATTTATTTGTTTTTTATAAGAGGCAAAGAGAGAAAAGGGAAGAAATGTGATAGATTATTACTTCGGTTTCTTTATTCTGATGAGATTTTTTTTCATCTTTTCCTATAAGTAGAGAATGTTTACATCAAATTCAGTAAGGTATTAGTGACTACTAGATCTGTACCCTAATTGTGAAAGAACATTTTCTGTCATGGTAACCTACCTTGCCATTGGCCAACTAACATTCCACTTTTTTTCTCTTTTTTTTCTGCCGCTTAATAATGGAGCAGTAAACCTGACAGGTGAGATAAATTTTTAAAAAACTTGCTTTCCGTTTTCTCAGAAAAGAGAAAATGAGAAAACAGTTTAAAAATAGCTTGTTTGAGTTTCCAAACAGAATATTTGTCATTCTAAAGCAGTGGTGGCGAACCTATGGCATGGGTGCCAGAGGTGGCACGCAGAGCCCTCTCTGTGGGCACGTGCACCGTCGCCCCAGTCCTAGACCTTCAGCTGGGTTTTATAAAATCTTTTCGCTTTAGGCCTCCGCCGCTGTGTGCAAAAAAAAAAAAAAAGAGGTTCAATCAGTCAACTTCTCGCGGAAAAAAAAAGTTGGAATTGATTGATTGAACTTTTCAGTCCCACCCAGTCTGCCATTACCACCGTAGCCACGCCCACCCAATTGGCCACGCATCAGTGGCCAAGTGGGTTTTGGGTTGCAGTTTGGCTACTCAGTCTCTAAAACGTTCGCCATCACTAGTCTAAAGGAATCCAAACAAATGAACTGTTTGGAAAAGGAGGCACACTTGAAGTTTAAGTTTTTTTCCCCAAAGGAAGATGAAAAATATAAAAAACAATAAAGGCTAAACTGAAAAAAATCTAAAAAAAAATAATCTTGTTCACTGCCCAGATACCCATTTTGTGAATTTAAGATTAAACTTGAAACTGGTCCTGGAAACCAATATGCTCTGGAAAATATGTATATGCAGCAATTTAGTACATGTTATACATATTCATATATTTGCTTGAAAGTCTGATCGAAGTTGCACTCAAAAATAACAAAAGAGAGGGCTAAACAAACTTACAGGGTTTGAATTCAAAGCTCCTGACTAAAAATTCATGGCCTGTAAAATAAGCTATCCCATTTATAAAATTAATTTATGCCTTCTACCATATCATCTATCCTTTCACATACACACATGTGAACCGAAGAGAAAGAAGAAAACAAAATTACATGGAGATTAAATAAATAGACAGGGAAAGACGAAATGTTTAGTATTGAAATTCCCCAGAGACAGAGCAAGGTTGAGGGCTTCCTCCCTAACCTTGGACACAGCTAATCATATTCTCAAAGGTATCCCCCAGTAACAACATCAGAAGACATTTCAGCTTCGTATTAATTCACTTTTTCAACCACATCTTCACAGAAAAGGTGACCCCAATTTACAAGTAATTTTTTGAAAGAAAACATTCATCTCATTATCAGATAAATATAGTATAAAAAATCAGGATGCCATAAAATAACACTCAGCGTAGAGATTCTCTTCTTCGAACTTGCTTATAAAAAAAACCTGTTCAATCTTACATATTCACCTTTTTGGTTATTGCTAATGCTAGCATAAAATCAGCTTGCATCATCTTAAATAAAATGGTACAATTCAGAAAATGGAGCTGCGATGAAATTAGGCAACAGCCAATAGTTTGAACATGAGTCAAAATTCTTTTCTTTAAATAGTTTTAGAAAAGCTCCAAATTTAAGATTCTATAAGATTCGGGATTGCAATAATCACTGGGCTCATTCCAGACATTAAACATGTACAAATCTTATTGAAATCAGTGCACTTGTAACATTTAATGGTAGTCTGATTGTTCTTAATTTTATCAGTATTCAGTCATATTTAATTATCTTTTGATTGTCCTAGATTCACCAAAAAATTAAATATATACAAGTTTCATAATAGATTATTCTATTAACGTAATTGTGTCATTTTTATTGATGCGACATAACTTGATTTCTCTGTTGATCTTTTAAAATCCTAAGTGTATACCAAAAACAATATATTAGAACTTATATATTTATGGTTTGTTAGTTTTGCTTTGGCAAGAGGGATAGTGATGTCAATAATAAATAAGTAAGTTCTTGATTAATAACCTTAATGATTGTATTCACTTTCTCTATGCAGGAAAAGGGCAGACACAGACTCTAGAAAGAACAGTATCCCTAACAGCAAAGAAATTCCTTCACATCATCCCACAGATCCAGTGGAGCTAAGACGCCTAAATTTTCAAACTCCAGGTAATTTGCAAATATTCTGTTTTAATCATCTAAACAACCCATCGCCTAGGTGATTTTAATGTTTCATAGTTTCATAGGAGTAAATACTGTATGAAAAAAAATTATCTTTGACTATGTTGCTTCTGTTGATTACTGAAGGCTCAGTTTGAAACATTTCTCTACTTCAAACTGTGCTTCTTTCCTGTTGGTTTTATGCTGGTGAAATGTACCAAATTAATCATATTTTGTCTTTAATTAATGTTATTTTTAGAAATCCATAGTTATGAGATAGACTAGTGGGGTATTTAATGTCATTCATAAATTCAAGATAATCATGTCCTCCTTCCCTCAAATGTTCCATGTACTATCTTAATTAGAATCTCATTTTGATGAGGATTTAAAATTCTTTAAACATGTACAACACCAGTAGGAATGAAAAAAGCCAGAGGTAACAGGAAAACCTGTTTAAAAGGCTCAAGAGAAAAAGAAAGTGGTTGGTTAAGAAATAACTACAGGTAGTCCTTGACTTATAACCATCCATTCAGTAACTGTTCAAAGTTACAAGGGCACTGAAAAAAGTGACTTACAACCATTTTTCACACTTAACGATCGTTGAAGCATCCCCATGGTCATGTGATCAAAATTCAGACTCCTGGCAACTGACTCATATTTATGACGGTTGCAGTGTCCCAGGGTCATGTGATCTGCTTTCGTGACCTTCTGACAAGAAAAGTAAAGGAGAAAACCTGATTCACTTAACAGCAATGTCACTAACTTAACAACTTTGACAAGAAAGGTTGTAAAATAAGTCAGAATTCACTTAACAAATATCTCACTTAGCAACAGAAATTTTGGGCTCAATTGTGGTTGTAAGTTGAGGACTACCTGTGTATTATACCAGTATTGTAGCTTTCATTTTTATAGAAATACAGTAACATTCTGTACTAAGTAAATTATGCTTTCTGTATTGAATAATTAGCATTGGATATCTGCTATGTGAATATATATTAAATATGCATACTGTTAAAGCCTACATTGCTTCTCTTATGCCCAGTTCTCTGTTGGAAATCCATTTACTCATGCATGCTTATCACTCCATTATTTGCCTGTATGTAAACTACCATCGTAGACCAAATCCTACAGGCATGACTTTTATGTTACATTAAGTAAAGCAAACAATACCTATATACAAAAGAGGTTTGAGATCAACTGCCTAACCCATGCAGCTCAGTAACACTACAAGCTGTATGTATTCTGGATTAAATCATCCAGAATGCACTTTATCTTGTCCTGAGTTTAACCTAAAAATATGTTTTCTGAAAATGAGAACAATCTGTCTTCTCAGTTTCTCAAATTTAGTTTGACTCCTTGGCCTATTTTACTTTGATATGAGAATGTAAAAAGAATAATGAAGACATGGTGAATGAAAAATAGTTAATGTCAAAGGAAAGTAAAAACCAACATTGCAACAAATTATTTGTTGAACAACATTGCACACAACTGAACAACAGCGACGGTTGGAATTATTGCAGCTTTGAATTTAATGATCGTTTCATAGTTTTCTAATTTTATCTTACCTCATGTCTCTATAATAAATGTCAGTAGGGCAGGAAATTCAACATAATTTGAGATTTTTAAAATCTCATACCACTTTGAGACTTTTTAATGGGAAGTAATGTACAAATGTTTTCAATGAGTAAATCAACACAATGCCTTCTCCTCAGTATTCCTCCATATAGTACATCTGTTTTTAACAAAATGAATTGAAAATCTCTTTTCAGACATTAAGAAATTCACTTAACCAACATATGAAAAGGAAAAAGGAAAATGCAGTCAGTAAATTTGCCCTTTGTTCTTCTTTGGCACAGTAGGCGTGATAAATGTAAAGGCCTTTCTGCCCATTTCAATAGGGACAAGTTCCAATCTACTACTACTACTATTACCATTTCTTCCTCCTCCTCCTTCTCCTTCTCCTCCTCCTCCTCCTCCTCCTCTTCCTCCTTCTCCTTCTCTTCCTTTTCAGATATTGGTTTATACTGGCTTCAAATGTCTGAATAAAACTACTATCCTAGTAAAAGGGCATGGCAAGCCAGCTGAGTTATATCTATTCAAAAATATCTAAGCTGGATCCAACTTTGTATTCACAGAGGATATAGTTGAGACCATATTGCAGTGGTAGATATCCAAATTCTCATTCTTTCTTTTGCAATTCTGTGTGATATTTATGACTACAGGAAGAAGAATTTTCAAATAATTTTCTCAGTCTCTTCCATGAGAGGAATCCTCACTGAATTTTGGAACATACTATGAACTGCAGCTTTTTCATTATTGGAGGTTATATCCATTATGAATTATAGGAGTTTGAACCCATTATAATTGAAAATAACAGAAAAAAAACCATTCAAAAAGAAACATTGCAAAAGTTGGTGGTAGAAATAACCGGAATATTTTAATATTCTTATATTTGCAGCATCACAACTGTAATTTAATAAAAAAAAATTCAAACATCAAAAACCCAAAAGAAAAGCTCATTTGTAAAATTTTACGTTATTAATTAATAAACCTATTCTTCTTAATATTAAATCAATATCAAATGAATCCATGAGTAGTAGGCTTGAGACTATACATATTGGCGCAGTCATCTCTTGATGCCTAGATTCTTCCTGCATACAAAAAGCTTTGTAAGCTGTGTCAGGCGAAGGCAATTTCTTGCTGCCTTCCTCTTAAACCAAAACCATGATCATATCCTTGATCAGATGTGATGATTGCAGCATTTCTCTTACCTTACTTTGTTTCTTCCAGTCGTGTCCATATGCAAAGTCACTTGTGTAATGAGCAGATATCAAAAGATGTAAAATGGGGCACATATGGCAGATTTCTCCCATTCTATTAATCATTCCATGCAATGGAATGGGGAATTAACAGGAATGGGGAATTAACAGGAACAGACAGGTGTCCACTTTTTGGACACGTCCATTCTCTGAGAGGGATAAATATAAAGTCTTAATCTGTCCATGAAGTTACTCTACCTGTTTCTCTTTCTTGTAAAAAAAAGGAAAGAAAACACCTGTCAAAAGAGCAGTGCTGAATGAAGCCAGAGGGAGAAGCCAATGCTGCTGTGCCATGGGGGCCTATTTTTACCCAAGTTTGATGGGCTTTTGAGAGATGACATGTATATAAGCAGTTTAGATAACATTTGACCTATGTATTGCAAAACCCTGGTCAGGCAGTCATCTCTATGGAACCAGACGTTCTCACACTCTATTTGCTCTCAAAACTAAAGTAGCCATTAAGGGGTCTCCCCAGCAACCTGAATGAAAGGGAGCATCCTTGCAGCAACCAAAAGTGGCCAATGAAAGGTGGCCAGAACCTAGCCTTTGACCAAGTCAGAATCTGTGTTGTATGGGAAGCATCTCTGATTGTTCATACAGCATACGTTGATAAGGTTAAAGGTGATGTAGTTTATAAAAAGCTGAGGAAGAATTTAAGACGACATCATGAGGATATTTTCTGAAAATATGTCAATAAGGAGCTTAACCCCAAGAGATGACGTAATTTATTAAGCCCATCTTCAGTGAACATGTTCTTAAGGTGTATTTGCTTTCTTACTTTTGTTCCCCATGGGAAACTGAGCAAATGTGAATATTTAGCATTTTTAATCCTTAAGATGAATGGCAAGAATGCTACGACTGCTCATGTGCTTTTGTTCGCATATGTCATAGCTTCTTTATGTGCATTATAAAATTACCACTTTCTTCAGAAGCACGCACCACCAGAGAATTAGATGTAACTAGTAACTGAAGAATGCTATATCTCTAATATACCTGGGCAAATGGGATGCTTGACAATGAAATCTGATACATGCATGTTTTTGTATTGTGTGGCTTGCACCAGGGCTACATAATTTCCATCTCTGTGTTGTTTGATTTATTTTATTTTTCTCATCTCTCTTTTAATATAATGGGGCAGTATGGAGGGAAGAAAACATTGGCATATGCTGTTCCACCCATATCTGTTAATAAAAATGCTCTTAGGATACATTGTCATGCAAATATGCATCAGCAGTGGATGCTTTCCAGATTCATAACATCAAGCCATCTGTATTCTACAGTATTTAAGTTAAAATGGACTCTTGAATGCAGAAGCCCATTACTAGTTGAAATTTCTTGACCGTGCTGAGGACAATATTTGGCCTTCAGCTGCAGTTGTATAGCAAAAAAAAAAAGCAATATCATTTTCAAGTTAATAATAAATATAACAATACTCATCTGTATGCAGTATGCTTTAGAATGTATAAATGATAAACAAACAGTGGGTATGAAATAAAAGGCAGAGAAAGAAGAAAGAAAGAAAGAAAGAAAGGAAAGAAAAAGAAAGAAAGAAAGAAAGAAAGAAAGAAAGAAAGAAAGAAAACCACACACACTTGTACAACTTTTCTATTTATTTCCTTTGATGAGATTATTGTGAAATTTAAGAAAAGGCATTCATTTTATATAATTCATAAACATAATAATAATCAGATGGTTGGTTCAAGAAGTGGTTCAGTTTTCTTCTTAAATAAAGTTATCCCTTCTGCTTAAACAAGTGAACAAATTGTGTACCACATTTTGATAAGAATCGAATGTCTCCCTGTAGAAGGATGATGCCCATATAAATAGCAAAGTACAGAAGGAATTCTTATCTTAGATGTTTCAATATGGATACAATAAAAACAGTTAAAATCATGGAACATGATTTTAACATCTTGGACTATTTATCTCTACTAAAGAGTGAGCACCATTGAAGATTCTTTTATTTCCATATAAGCCTGCATTTGAGGCTTATTATTTATAACTGATCTAGTATTTCATATCAATGATATCTCGGTTTTCAATAATATAAAATTGAATATTGAGATCCAGTTCTACAATAATGTGATCCACTAATACAGCTGTCTGGTTCTGTACGTGAACAAATTAGAGTAGTCTGACCTTTCTGTCTCTTTCTCAGTTCTGAATGTCCACGTTGTATTGTGCATGCAGAATAGTACCTTGGTCTCTGTAAAAAAAAATTGACTTAATATGATGGTGTACTGCTGTTACTAATTTCTTTCCCATTTCCAATTGGCTTTACTTTTTACAGCTTTGAGCAGTAATTCAGTCCCCTACGCCTCCCTGATTGGCTCTGTGTCCTCCCTCTCTAGCCAAACTACCACTCAATCCTTATATGATAATAACTCTCTCCCACGATTCGCTCGAAAAGGTCTAAACATCTTTGTCTATTATTTTCTCTGTTCACTGTTTTAGATGTTCCATTATTCAACTTCCATTTCTGAATAAGCCTAGCATTTTCTTGTGCCTTTTTTTTCTCTTTCTATATTGTGTCACTGGGATGCTCGATCTGGATTAAAAATGTGTTGGCTATTTCAAAAAACAAACCACCCAGATTAAATATTCCATGTGAAGATATGAGAGATATTGAAACATCTTCCAAATTAATAAAAAATATTGTTTATTTTCCTTTCTGAAAGTAGTTTCCATAATGTGTGGGCTTCATACGCTTACCAAACAATCAAAAGAACTGTTATGTATCTAATTAGTTTTGCCACATCATATTACCTTCCATAGTGCTATTTTCAATGCCACCAGCAGGATTTAAATGACATGCTGGTGTTGATGACCTTTCCTTCATTAAGCCAGGAGTTCTGTAACTCTAGTAAGAACATAGCAAATGTAATTTCTATCTTTATATTATCATTTCCTGATCATGACAGATAAAGCTGTGTAGCATCATGCAAACTGGCTTTTGTAGAATACATCTTTCAAAGTTGCAGTGGTGAAACTGCCTGACCTGTGGAAAATATGGCTTCCAGCTTGAGCCCCCCACTCCTCCTTTCAGTTGCCATCTTTCTTTTGTTTACACATAATGTCCATACATCTGGGGTTTACTAGTTTAAAAATCTAGCCAATTTTATGTCTCCCTATACAATATGGGAAATACATTGAATGGGTGAAAAAATCACACACACACACACCCCATGAGCAGTTGAAAAAATATACCCATTTGAGCAAATACTTGTGGATTTGCTAAAATCTTTAGCTGGCAGATCCTGCTAGTTGACCCCATTTCACCCTTTACCCTGTCTCCAATTTACGCTGTTGCTTTTCTATCCCATCTCATCCCATTCCATCCCTTCCCTGACCCTTCTCAATGTTCACTGTTTTTCCATCTGTAGACAAAGATGTTTACACCTGAAGTAGATTGTAGGTAATCTCTGGGGGTTGATAAAGGGACGGGATTGAGATCTTTATCTTTTCTCTGAGAAAGTAGGGTGAACTGCATGTTTGTGTTTCACAAAACTGATTCTGTACAACCCCTGCCACTACAATCTGCTACTAGTGGAAACATTTTTGAAGCTTTAAATGTCTGATGTACAATGTCTTTATTGACTGTTGTCTATAAGCTGCAGTGCCTGTTTACTCTGACTATCCATAGCTGCATGTGAATGTCCTAAATTTTTTGTAACATGTTTTGAAAAATCATTAGATTATTCTTTGCCTTAATCAACTTCTCCAATTCTTGAAATACAATAATTATTTTAAGAACCAAGCTATTCATTTATTTCATTTCATTCAATTTTATAATTACACATGAGGTTTTTTCCTTCCCCTGTTTTATTTTTCAAATCTCTTTTTGCAGGACCAAGTTTCTCTGGTTACCTTGGTAACCTACATTCTTCAAGTTAGTTTTCCTCATAAGTTATTTTCTCTCAACTATTTAGGACTCTTTGATAGCTTTCTCCTTGCCCTCGATTCACATTCTGTTCACCTAAGTCCAGCACCATTTCCATTTCACACCGTTCAAGACAAGGGGTTATATATGACATTACAAGTCATTATTCAAACAGAAATGAACATAAGGTCTAACTATTTCATTCTTTGCACTTAGCTAACTTCATTAAGCTTTGGCATAATATATGTGTATGTAAATATATATATATATATATTTACATTATTATTATATATATAAATATATATGTATATATTCATTCTAACACTAGAGAATGGTTGTTTGGTGAAATTGCTTGTTTTTTTTTAATTTTGTTTAGTAATCTGGCTTCAGAGCTCATCTCTTCAGAGCATGTGTTGCTTTGAGTGACTAAACTATATGCCTGCTTCTATCACCTTAAAACATCTGTACTATTTACACATTTTATAGACATTTCAATTGCTATATTTTAAAATTTGAATATTAGTACTTATCTTTCATTATTTTTAAATTTCATCTTTTTTCTACTTTAACAGGTATGGCTAGCCATCCACCAATACCTATTTTGGAACTTGCAGATCACATTGAAAGACTGAAGGCAAATGACAACCTGAAATTTTCCCAAGAATATGAGGTAATGACCCCCAGGTTTCTCAGGGGTTGATTCACTGATAATTTAAAATGACAATATTAATGGGTTGGAATAAACTCTCAGTAGACACTTCTCTCTATAAATATAAACATAAATTAATGTAATTAAAATAGAAGTCAGACAAATTTTCAAGTAAGACTGAATTCCTAAACAAATGGTATAGCAAGCTTGCTGATTAGAGTAAGATTTCATCATAGGTATTTTAGGATTAATTGCTTCATTATTTTCATGCTATTGTGAATATTTAAAGCAAATTCTTAACAAGTTAGCATTTTCTCCCAGAAGATATTTTCAATAAGTTAATATCTTGTTTGGATAGGAAAGGATTTTAAATCTCTTTGGGAGACATTCTGTCCAAATCAGTTTCTTTTATCATTGAAATATAATATAAATAGGTAGGAAAAAGAAAAGGGGAGAGTGGAAGCATCCTAGGAATTGGGTAAATGGAGAGCAATGGAAAGAAGTGACTTAGATAACAACAGCATGGTATCTTTTTCTTTTAGTATCAAGAAATACTTGAAAATATTTAATTCTTACATGCCATTCTAAAATTTTAAAAACTTAAAAATTCAGTGTTAACCACTTCAGGAATAAAATCCTGAAATAAATGCCTAACAAAGAATAAGAAAAAAAAATCCACAGCATGTGTTAGTATTGAATGGATAAGACAGTGAATTCAGTTAAATTCAATGCAAGTAAAATTAATATATAAATACTTTGGGCAGAAAGAAATGAAAAGAAAATTCTTACATGATAATTTTATTTTGTCATATGTGTAGCTTAATTTACAATTCCATAAGAATTTAAGTAATTAATTCAGAATTGGGTTGGTTCACAGAGTAAATGTTGCCTATATACTAAGGATTGGTATAGTTATTATTACCTCACTGTTCATTAATTCATGAGTTACACATTGTAATAGTATCATGGGAAGCTATTATGAATTACCTTTTAATATCCCATGGATTATCACTCCCAGGATGCGCACAAACATTGAGAGATCATTCTCAGTAGAGAATGAAGACAAGAGGGCCACATCCATTAAGTTACATTAATTATTGCTGGTTTCTGGAAAGCACAATATGTATAGGAAGCATGCAGAATTCTGACAGATTTTTTCCCCCTTAAGAGCAGTTCTACGCTGGGTCATGTTACTAGGGAAGGTGGAGCTTCATATTTGGGTGGTCAGCAGTTTTCCAAGCTGCTACCCAATGACTCTTCCATTGGAAAGCATTAGTGGAATTTTTTTCTCCATATCTTTTTTTCCTCTACAGTCCCATCTAGTCTCATCCTACATTGAAACTCTTTTTCTGACTTATTGCCACCACTACCACCACCAAATTTAGTCCCATTCTGTTCTTGGGAAATCCTGTTAATGAACAGACATAATCCCAAGGCTCTTTATGTAATTTTATTTCTAACATTCCATTGTATCAGAAAAAAAAATGAAAGAAAAGAGAAAACCCAAATATTCAGAGAAAATTCTGCTGTAATATGTATAGCTAGTATTGTAGTGAACAATAAATACTTTTCAATGCTATGGTTTATTTCTGATAATTGTGACAGGTGAGTAAATTAACCAGAGAGCACTTAAGACTTTAAAAGGTCCATGTCTTACCTTGTAACATGAGTTATCTGCTAGGAGAAAAAAGAGTTCCCTCTAACAAACCAGAATGTGAGTATCAGAAAATTCCACAAGTCAGAACAAAGGTCAAGATTAGCCAAAATGAAGAGCTGGGAGCAACTCCAGCTGTTTGGAGGGCAGGGCGTTGGAGGTTACTTTTATATAGCCCCAGAAGCTGGCATGTTTTGAAGGGGATCAAAAACATTGTGTTTCTCTTTTCAAGGTGATGTGCTGATCATCTCCTTGCTTAGCCCTTGGTAGGTACAATGTGTTCTTCAATTAGGCACCCTCCAGAATATACCTGCCCATTACCTGAACTTAGTCTTGTTCAGACTCATGCCCTATGAAGCTGCCATAAGGTGATGGTCTGTCAGATCTGCCTGTTTAGCCTCTGACTTGAGATTCAAGCAAAGCTGTAACTTCACCACCCAGGGCATAGCATATTGAAACCTGTTGATTTCACACCCAAGAAGGAAAGGCATTGTCCTCAATAAAGATAAAAAGGACTAATTGTGGCAGAATCTGCAGCTAGAGTGAGCAGGTGGAGCTAAGAGAATGGCTAGCTTGAAATCCCTGCAGGGAAAGAAGCAACGGAAACCTGAAACACCCTCCCCCAAAAAAATTCCTGGAACCCTTATCTGGTTGTTCCCAAGAGAATGCACTTCCTATAAATAGGTGAACAGCAATAAAGAAACTTCTCTGATCAGCTCACAGTGTCATCCTGTTTCCTTGCATCGGACATCATTAAGTAACAGTTTTGTTGTCCTTATTGTGCCCCAGAATTTGCTGCTTGATGCAACCACATTAATGCACTTAACAGAAGAATACAGTTTGCATGAAGTTACTGGAATGGCAATACTTATTATGCAACATTCTTCAAGCAATTAAGTACTGAACTGTTAGGTTCTTTCTGAAACAAATGCAAATTATTACTAGAAATAACAGCTGCTAACACTAGAATACTAGTACTCCTTATAAGCAATAGCACAATGACATTTTTGTCAGCTGGCTCATCTAGCATCATAATAATATTATCATGTTCAACCCTATTATAAAATCCTTTAAATTCCAAGATGCAAAACTATTTATTCTAAAATATGGGTAGTTTAACAGCTTATTAATATATATTTATGCTTTCAAGCTTTCAAAATACCATTTCAATGCTTTGAAACGAATGATTTTGAAACATACTGTCAGGTGACACTGACAGAATGCAAATAAATTAGTACTCTATATCTATTAAGCATGGATGCCTCCTTTATTAGGAATAGTTTGATAGAAACTTTAATAAATGTTACCTTTGGAATGCAGTTCTATTTGACCTTTACATAAATATTTCAGTCCGTAGAGTATAAATATTTAATATCTTAAGCAAGAGACATTTAAATAGCAATTGTATATTTATGTTTAAAGTACTTATGTTCAGTTGCTTATCATGTAATGATTCGGTGTTAGATAAGGTCTTAAGCTTTGTCTGAAAAATAATCTCATTACTGTCAAAAATGAAAATGCAGCTTTAACATTCACTAAATTATATTGACTTGAAGGTCACGTTAGGGTTTCAAGTGACACTTAACACAATTAGCCAGAGATTTTATGCCAATTGTATGTAATTATTTAGTGTTCACAGTCACAGAGATCATGCAAACTTTGTATTTCATGAGGCATTTGCTGGTACTCATTTATTTCCTTTATATGAACTTCACAATGTTGTTCTGCATAGTATAAATTTCTAAAGTTATCTATACTTCCTTTTGCTGTCTGTTCCAAAGTATATAGAATAAATTGTCTAAACCAACGGCCCCCAACCTTTTGGGCATCAGCAACCAGTGCATGGACAAAGATTTTTTCCACGGACCAGAGTGGGCATTTTGTGTCTGCATCTCAAGGATGGCGTTTTGCTTGTTTGTGCGGCTTGTTGCTGGCATGCCGTGGACTGATGTTGGTCCACGGACTAAGGGTTGGGGACCCATGGTCTAAACATCTAAAAATTATCAAATAAGTTTGATAAAATAAAAGGCGCTATTTTTGGTAAAACAAAAGATTCCATCTAACAAAGGCTTCCAAGCTTTTTCAGGGTAACTTTAATTTTAAAAAATCCCAGAACCCTGATCAAGAGGCAAAAGTCTAAAGATAGAAATTTGGCAATAAAACTATAACTTGTACACATTGTCATTTATGTATCAAATGTATATATTTAAGTAATTTGAATTTTACCAAAATGGATGCTCCAATTACCACCCTGGAAAGTTCCTTTGTTTATTATTTTGAAGTATGAAAAACAAACTGATATTGTGAATGTAAAATATTTCTAATGTACAAAGATTAAAAATTGAATTTCAAAATTACTTGGGATATTAATATATCATCCAAACAAATCAGTATACAATGACTGGGATTAGATTGCTTTTCCTTAGAAAAATTGTTATGGACACCCTGAGCGTCCTTCTTCCTGCTCCTCTTGCTCCTATGGAATGCCATCAAGATTTCCATGAAAAACAGTTTGAAAAACCCTAGGCTAAAACTTATTTTGGAATGTCTTTGATATTTGGAAATTTTTCTAAGTTTTAAAAGAGCTTTGACTTTGGGGTAGAAAATTCTTTTTTGAAGAACTCCTTTGGAGAGCTGGAGTTAGATACATAATTCTTTGAATCCGGTACAATCTCTAGTCTGCTTGAGTGATTCTAAAAATCTAAACATAAAGGGGGGAAAAGTCATAGAAAATTTAAAATAAAACCAATAAGAATGGCACAGTAAAAGTCATATATGAAAATATATCAGCCTCAGGTTAGCTAAAATGAATTATGACTAAGGTTCTTTGAAACAAATGGAGTATAACATAGACATGATTAATTGTTCAGTTGGATCTTGATTATGATTAATTTCAGTTGGACTCAAGTCAATAACAAATGAAAATTGTCAGTTATGAATTACTGCATTATCTGCCAAGAAAATACTGCAATATGCACCCAGAGATCATAAAACTACAAGCCTTGTGAACCCAAGGCTTTCCACCTGCCATCTAAAATGATAAAAGAAGTGTCATAGCTAGATGTGATATAACTACAGAGGACATTCCTAAAGGGTTTCTGCTAAATCTTCAGCTGAGGAGATAATCTCCATAGTAGTGTTGTTTAATGGAAGTAAGAGAGAGAAGACAATAAACAAATGCAACTGGTGATCAGGATCAAAAGTTGATGAGGACCCATGGTTTTATTGACACGACTGTAGCGGAGAGCTATAGATAGCACTCCATGCTGCTTGTTAATTTATATCATCGTCCATTCTCACAAGGCATATTTCCAAAATATTGCTTTTCTCTCTCTCTCTGTTCTTGCAGTTAGTAGTAATTGTTAAT